GGCTCCGGACGCATAGGCCCAGCGGCCATGGCTCACGGGCCCAGCTGTTCTGCGGCATGTGGGACCCTCCCGGACCGGGGCACGAACCTGCGTCCGCTGCATCGGCAGGCGGACTCTCAACCACTGCGCCACCAGGGAAGCCCTGGTCTTTTTTTTTTTTAACAAAAATGAGATTTTATTATACAGACATTCTGTAACTTGCTCTTTCATTTAACATGTCGTAAATCTTTTACTACCTTAATTCATGTGTCTTATCTGTTAGGTTATGTTTTTTCCTCTTTTCTTTCTTCTTTTTAATAGTTTTTTATTTAATAAATTTTTTTTTATAAAGTATACTTGTCTATTTATTCCTTCTTTGCCTTGTGGATTTTGTGTTATGCTCTCAGACATTTATTTTATCTATTTAAAATTGTTAAAAACTATTAACAGTCTTTATAAATATATTCAAAACACTGATGGGGATTTTCTTCTTAAAGTAATTTAGAAATCAGTGTTTCAAGGTAATAAAATATTGTTGCTCAGTGGAGAGCAAAGTTCAGAATCCATGATTATGGTCTCTGCAAGTAAAATTGTGAGTATTTTAACAAAATTTATGGAGATTGGTGGATAATTGCATGGATAATTCATAGAGGAAATTAAAGTCATTAATAATGAGAAGAACTTCCCCTAACAAGTTACCTGGTTAAAACAAAATGTTATTTTGCCTATGAAATTATTAAAATTTTAAAAACTTGAGATATGCACTTTTTTTAAAAGTTCTTTTTATTGAGGTATAGTCGATGTACAATATTATAGAAGTTTCAGGTGTATGATGTGAAATACACACTTTCACTTTCATATATTGATTATAAAATGTGTCTCTCCAAAGCAATTTGGCAATACTATACTAAGAGTGAGAACTTTAAAATAAGTTCATATTTTCATCCACCAATTCAGATTTAGGTATATGACCTAAGGGAACAATTAAATTACAGAAGAAAAAAATAATATATTAAGATGTTTATCTTAGTATTATTTAGTTAAGTCATTTCACATCACATCTCTTCAGTTAGGCAGCCACCAAATGTTTACAAATAATTTTTAATTATAGAGAGAAAAAGCTTACAATGGAATAAGTGTAGGGAAAAATATAGAAGGGAATATATTGAAATTTTACTAGTAATTGCCTCTGAGTGGCAGTGATTATATATGATGATATTCTTTTTAATATTTTCTGTGGTTTCCCAAATTTCCTATTATTAGGATGTATTATTTCACTAGGAAGGAAATTAATAGAGGTCGTTGAATTGAGTAGATGAAAGGCAGGTGGCTTACTTGGATAGGTAATTAATAAGCTGGTTATTTAATCTTAACTAACAATGTTTTTTAACTTTTTAAAAAAAATCTTTTTCAGGTTGCTATGCATAATGACAGTTATGATACTCTTTATGGTAAGGTTTCCTTTCTCATTTACTTTTAAAATGTTGATTATTTGAAAAGCTTTTAATTTTTGGATCACTTCTGGTGATTTAATTTCTTTAATAAACAGTAATACTTGGAAAATGGTACATAACTATATGAAATATCAGTCATTGTAAAGTTTTATTTTGACTTAATAAATAAGTCCCTTTCACTGGTTAACTTTCATGTTGTTTCGAGAGAGACACTATTTTTCCTTTGTCCTTTATGTTTAATTTTTACGTAAAATTATTTGTACATTTATTAGCGTATTTGCAGAAAAGAAAAGAAAGATAAGCGGATTTTGGTTAATACAAATATTTATGTCTGCTTTGGTCCAAAAAGTTTTTAACATTGCTGGTCAAAAGATTAAGGATACTTAGTTTTTCAAGTCCAGGAGTCTTGATCTATCCTATTGTCTCATTTAATTTTGTGATTATCTTTTTTATTTTCTGTAGGAAGTTTAACAAACTCTTTGAATATCCCAGAGTTTGAAGAGTCTGTGAGAGACTGTGAACACGCGAGCTTGAATATGGATAATAATATAAAATTTTCTGTGTGGGTTTCTTTCTTTGAGATTTACAATGAATGTATTTATGATTTATTTGTTCCTGTCTCATCTAAATTCCAAAAGAGAAAGATGCTACGCCTTTCCCAAGATGTAAAGGGCTATTCTTTTATAAAAGGTATACTAGTGAGTATTTTTTACTTTATTGCTCTGAAATTCCTTTCTAGGCTTTGTTATAGGAGAGCAGACTGGAAATTGAAAATTTTTATACTAATTATTTTTTATTTTTTAATCTATTTATTTATGGCTGCATTGGGTCTTCGTTGCTGTGCACGGGCTTTCTCTAGTTGTGGCGAGCAGGGGCTGCTCTTCGTTGCAGTGCACGGGTTTCTCATTGTGGTGGCTTCTCTTGTTGCAGAGCACGGGCTCTAGGCACGTGGGCTTCTGTAGTTGTGGCACACGGGCTCAGTAGTTGTGGCTCGTGGGCTCTAGAGCACAGGCTCAGTAGTTGTGGTGCTCGGGCTTAGTTGCTCTGTGGCATGTGGTATCTTCCCGGACCAGGGCTCGAACCCGTATCCCCTGCGTTGGCAGGCGGATTCTTAACCACTTCACCACCAGGGAGGTCCTGTATCCTGATTATTAACATCAAGATAATAGTTTGTCCTTTGAAAGTATGTTAATTAAACTTGAAGGTGAAGGGGTCTAGTTTAATGTTGTATTTGCTAGAGTATTATTGATTGGATTTTAGGGGATGGGAAAAGCTGTGTGTGTAGGTATTCACATTATTCTGCTGCTTTGTAACGGTATTCAAACTTCAGAGCCATGTATCAGTAAATGTTCTGTTCCATAGTGCTGTTTTTCCAACCTTTTAAAAATCACTACCCCACAGTAGGAAATACATATTAATAACATCATGATCCTGTACCTGCATATGTATATATATACATATATACAATTGAAAAGTTTCGTTAATTATACTTACCCTTACTACAAGGAATGCACTTTGTTGTTTTCTATATTGTACTTCATTTTTACAATACGCTAGTTGTGACTCAATAAATTTGACTTCATGACTCACAAATGAATTGCAGTCTATAATGTCTCATAGCTAGGTAATTTTCTAGGTTTAATCTGTAATGTATTTTGTCTTTTTTTTTTTTCTGGATGTCTAATTCTAAGGAATCTTACCTATTTTTAATTTTCCCTTTGGCAGATTCTGTTGAAGAACATTTACTTTCTGTGTTTGTACTACTTAAGTACTGGAAAATCATTATAATATCCTCTTCTTGCATACTTCTTTTTTTATATTTATTTATTTATTTATTTGGCTGCATTGGGTCTTAGTTGTGGCGTGCGGGATCTTCATTGCAGCGCGTGGGCCTCTCTCTAGTTGTGGCGTGTGGGCTCTAGAGTGTGCGGGCTTAGTTGCCCCATGGCGTGTGGGATCTGAGTCCCCCGACCAGAGATCGAAACCACGTCCCCTGCATTGGAAGGCGGATTCTTAACCACTACACCACCAGGGAAGTCCCTTATGTAATTCTTTTCTAATGGAGTATGGAATAGCTGAGTTGACTATACCTAGGGCGTGTTATTAAAAGAAAGATTTTATTATATGTCTTTGGGAAAGAGATTACATATCTTCAAAGAGATTACATTGTACTGCAAATGCTGTGTTTTTATAAATTGATATGTGTCCTCTTTATTTTTTAAAGATCTACAGTGGGTTCAAGTATCTGATTCTAAAGAAGCATATAGACTTTTAAAACTAGGAATAAAGCACCAGAGTGTTGCTTTCACAAAACTGAACAATGCTTCCAGTAGAAGGTAAGGAGTAAACCCTGTGGTGTAAGCCTGAGGTGTGCTAATTTAAACACAACTAATTTAAGATTAAAGTGGACACTAGGTTCTCTGATATATTAAATGAATTCATAGGCATAAAAACATTCTGTAAACTGAAGAGCACTAAACACATAAGATTATCAAGACTGTTTCTTGTTCTAACGTAAGATTTACTAAGTTACACTCAGTCTGAGGTATTTTTACTCTTTCTGTATGTGAATATCTAAGCTCAGTGTTTTAGTTACCTGTAACGGTGGACTTTTCTCTGTGTTTTTCCTACTTACCCCATGAACACAGACACTGTATGCATACTGAGTTGGGCCAAAATCTCAAAGGGCTAAGGAAGGATTTTTTTTAATGTTTATGATATATGATACATGATATACATATCATGTATCATATATGATGTGTGATATACATATCATATATCATATATGTATGATACATGTTTTTGCATAGCTAAAGAAAAAGGAAGGATGTTTTTGATGGAAGGGATTGGTGGATGAGAGACAAAAGAAAATAAGTTTAAGTTTATACGTAAAACAGGTTTTCTCTTAAGGGGGAAAGAACCCTGTCCCCCATGTGTGGAGTGAAGGTAATATATAATCCAGATAAGCCTGTATTTAGGCCAGATGTATACTTTGCTTTAGGTATATATTCAAAGTAGATTAGCTGTAAATAATACCATTTTAACTAGTAATATCTCTGCAAGCAAATTGAGACTTTATTATAAATGATTTCATTAATAGAAATAAGAAGAGGAATAGGTTTGAAGGATTTGGGGCTAAGTGCAAGAAAGATAAGATATTTGGTTTTAGGTAGTTGGGTGGTATGTAGGTGATAGTGGAGCACTGAATTGAAATATCTGACAGCTAGTTGGAGAATGCAGCGCTGGAGCCATGGCTAGTATTAGGATATAAATAGATGTTGATTTAGATGCTTGTCTCCTATTTAGAATGCAGAAATTAAAAGTGAACGATAATATTTGATCTTTCTTTACTTCTTTTAGTCACAGCATATTCACTATTAGAGTATTACAGATTGAAGAATCGGAAATGCCTCGTGTAATGCGAGTCAGTGAGTAAGTTGAGCATTCTTTAAATTGTAATTATTCTGAATTGTTTTGTTTTGAAGAATTTTTTAGTTTTTTTTTTTTTTTTTTTTTAGATTGTCTTTATGTGATCTTGCTGGTTCAGAACGAAGCATGAAGACACAGAATGAAGGTGAAAGGTTAAGAGAGACTGGGAACATCAACACTTCCTTATTGACTCTGGGAAAGTGTATCAATGTTTTGAAGAACAGTGAAAAGTCAAAGTAAGAGTTGCTGAACATGTTATTAGCATATTAAGTATTACAATATTTAGACCCTTCAGCTTTGCTGGTTTTAGAAAGTTCTCTTGTTTTTCACTTATGACTATATATGGATTGTAATTAAAATTACTTAGAAATCTTGGATAAAAAAATGATAGAAATTAAAAAAAAAATGTCAGTCAATGCCAGTGGCTCATCAAGTAAACACAATATTTTCCATAGCAAATATATATCAACAGACATCTTGGATAGTAAGCTTCTGATGATGCTGGTTTAGCATCTAAAACCACGTTATTCTTATTAATGCATTCTGTTTTTCTAGATGTGGTAGATTTCTGCATTAATTATGAATCAGCCTGTACCATTTCTAGTTAAGGTGTATATATTGCGTAATTGGCCTACACTAGAAAACACAACCCAATTCAATGTGACTTTCTTTACATTTTGCCTAGTATTAGAATTACTATTATAACTAGTAGTAGTATTTAAAGAAAACAACATGAATAAACAGAAAATGATTATTATGGGTGGAACTAATTATTAACCTAGAATTTAAGTCCATGATAGCTATATTATTTCTTTGTAAAATTTATCAGCATCCTGACTTCATGAGATATGTTTTAACTTACAGTTTTTTGAAAAATTTTTCCGTAGGTTTCAACAGCATGTGCCTTTCCGGGAAAGTAAACTGACCCACTATTTTCAAAGTTTTTTCAACGGTAAAGGGAAAATATGTATGATTGTCAACATCAGCCAATGTTTTCTTGCCTACGATGAGACACTCAATGTGTTGAAGTTCTCAGCCATTGCACAAAAAGTAAATATAATTAAATTTCTGCACAATTTATTAAGCTTCTTATCATTAGAGTATTAATTATTTTTTTCTCGGAGTAGTTAACACATTTTGCACTAGCTCTAAACCTAGAAAATAACTGAAAATTTAAAATGTAATACTTGATCAAGTAGTAGGACATAGGAAAAATATTGAAAGTAACCCCTGCTTAAGAGTAAAATGACCTCAGTAATAAACTTACCCATTACAAATTTCGAGTAATTCTTGCAGCAAATTGTCAGCTCTGCTGTCCATCTGGTTCATTTAGTGGCTAATCAGGAACCCCCCTGCTAGGAATAGTATTGATACTAAGAACTTAACCCAGGAAAGTAAATTTATCTAGAGTATACATGTGTAATTAGCTTTTTTCTTATCAAATATTTATTTAAGGATGCTAATTCCTTCTTGCATGTTTGTTTGCATTGTTTTTACTTTTTAATTCTCAAATTGTCATTTGACTTAAATTTATAAAATTTTTGTTTTGTGTGGACAGTTCTTGCCTTTTCTGTTTTAAAAGTTACATTGAATATTTTAACAGGTTTGTGTTCCAGACACTTTAAATTCCTCTCAAGAGAAATCATTTGGACCTGCCAAATCTTCTCAAGATGTATCACTAGATATTAATAGTTCAGATAATAAAATACTAAATGAAAAGAGATCCACAATTTCATGGGAAAATAGTCTAGAAGACGTGGTGGAAGATGAAGATTTGGTTGAGGATCTAGAAAAAGCTGAAGAAAAGCAAAATGTGGAAAGTGAATTTACTGATGAAGATCTAGATAAAACATTAGAGGATGATAAGGCTTTCAGTAGCCATGAGGAGAAGAGAGTATGTATTAAGAACTCATACTTCTAAAGTTGGCTTATTTATTATTCTGAAGTTAGGGTTAATAATTCTTAAGGCTGTTTCTCTCATTTTTTTAACAATACACTAATTTTGTCTTTCATCTTCATGTTTTGAAAATTTTCACATCCACAGAAAGAATAATACAATGAATACACATTTGCACTTCACCTGAATTTGCCAGTTGTTAACATTTTATCGTATTTACTTTAATTCTTTCTGTGAGTGTGTGAATACACATCTTTTTGGTGTATCATTTGAAAACAAGATGCAGACATAATGACACCTTACAAATAACTACTTCAGCATGTTTCCCGAGAACGTGGACATTTTCCTCATGATCAAAAGACCATTTTCATACCTAAGCAATTTCACATTGATACAATAACGTAATGTTTTATCGTCCATATTGAGATTTATCCAGTGGTCAGTATTTCCTTTATAGCCACTTTGTTATTGATCTACAACCAAAGTTAATACATTGCTTTTGATTATCGTGTTTCTTTAGTTAATCTCTAATCTAGTGTAGATGTTTTTGAAAAATTGTGGTGAGTTGTCTTGTAGAGTGTCTCCAGTCTGGATCTGTCTTATTACTTCCTGATTCAGGTTTAACACTTTAGATAAGCCTATTATATAGGTGAAGTTGTGAATTTCCCATTACATCACATCAGGAGGCAGCTGATGTCTGATTCCCCCATTTTTGGTGATGCTAAATTTTGCTCATTTGGCTAAGGTTTTGTGTTTAGATCTCTCTTCATTGTAAAAGCGTATCATCTGTGAAGATGCTTTGACACCATGTGAATATCTTGTTCCCCACTATCCTTTCACCCAGTGATTTTAGCATACTCCACCAAACTTTTACTTTGCAGTCTTAAGTACAATTGTGCAAAATGTCTGCCCAGTACTGATTATCCTATTTATTCAAAAACAAAAATTATTTGGTTGTCTTGTATTTATGGTAAACAAATAAGATTTAATGGTGGTTCTTTTTTTTTTAATTAATTAATTTGTTTTTGGCTGCGTTTTGTCTTGGTTGCTGTGCGCGGGCTTTCTGTAGTTGCGGCGAGCGGGGGCTACTCTTAGTTGTGGTGTGTGGGCTTATTGCCGTAGCTTCTCTTGTTGTGGAGCATGGACTCTAGGCGCGCGGGCTCAGTAGTTATGGCTCACAGGCTCTAGAGCACAGGCTCAGTAGTTGTGGCTTACGGGCTTAGTTGCTCCGTGGCATGTGGGCTCTTCCCGGATCCGGGCTTGAACCGGTGTCCCCTGCCTTGGCAGGCAGATTCTTAACCACGGCACCACCAGGGAAGCCCAGTGCTGCGCAGTTCTTTTATCCTCTGTCCAAATACAATTCACACATATATTTAAGTTGTTATTAATCCTGAAATGTAGATCATGTCCACAGTACCAGTTCCCCTCATTAACTGGTCATAACTATTACATATGTATACATGGAGTATTCTTACCAGCGTCACAGGAACACTAGTAATCCTGTGCTCATGGATGTGCTTCAGTGGTATTGCCACATCTGACATCATAGTACTCTTTTGGACTGTAGAAGTCTAAGTAGATGGATGATGTATTGAGTTAAGTACTCTCATTTTAATAGTTTATTTCAGTGTCCCTGAAAGCTATAGTTGTGCCTGTGTTGTTTGGAAATGAAAATGAAAGCTTCAGATGCCACTATTCTCAGTTAATCTGGTTACTATGTGATTGGACCTTGTTTACCTTGGATCTCTGTAATGTAGTACTTCCTTCAGTGACAAAATGAGCCATTAATAGTCCTATTTTAGGTTTTATTGATCTTCTCAAAACTGAAGTTTATATAGAATATCCATTAAACTTAAAATGTTAGTAGAATTTCAGAATTTATTAGGGAAAAATAGTGTAGTTTATAAAGGATTATATAGTGTAAATGCATATCTTATAATGTTGACTAGGTACTTTATTTTTATTTATTTATTTATTTTATGACTAGGTACTTTAAAATTAAAATTTAATCGAGGTTTTTTCCTAATATTTTAAAAAATGATTATAGACTTTGCATGCTTTACATTATTAGCATTTTAATTAGAGGATTGTATTAAAGATCATTATGAAATATATTGATATTAGCATATTTACACTTAAAATTCATTTAATTAGGCTAACCAACCAGAATTTTTTTCACCGAAAACTTTGTCAGATGCTAACAATGATAGAAAACTAATTGTTGTTGAGAATTATTGAAAGAAACCAATTTTCCAAGGTTTCCCACATTCATGCAGATTTCTCTAAGTCTCCCACATTTCTTCTTCAGTAGTTATCATTTATTATTTTAAACAGTGGGAAAGTCTGTGGTTATTCAAAATTATAAAAGTATTATATAATCTTGGTGGAATCTAGAAAAAGAAAAAGAGGAAAATAATTAAATATAAATCTCTCTCTAATCTACTGCTCACGTTAGTAGGTTTTTACTATACATTATAATATTGTAACCTAATTTTCTTCACTTAAAAATAAATTGTGAAAAGTATGAATTATAAATATGTCATCATAATTCATTACAGTAGTTTACTGTATGATGGTACCATAGTTGAACCCATCTCTTTGACTGTTGAGCTGGGTTTCACTTTTTCTTTATTTACATACAACCACTCACTGTTGCAAAAAACACAGTGACCATTCTTACAGCCAAAACGCTGGGTCCTATTATATAATTAATTCCTCAGTATAAGTTCTTAGAAGCAGAATTTCAAAGTCAGGATATCTATAGAAATATTTTCAAATACAAAATCGAAAAACTGAAAGATCTGTGACTTTGAGAGAGTTTATTAATTTATTATTGAGAAACTTTAATCAAAAACCTTGAAAAAGAATATTAGGCTTTTTTCTTGAATGCTATAATTTATTACATATCTATACTGGCTATGATGTCAAGTTGTAATTGCCTTATTGTTCATTGTCTGTATTACATGATTAATTATGTATGTGCTTTCAAAGACAGAGTTGTTGCTCACATTTGAATAGTTATAAAAGCCCAATAGGATAAGTTTAAAAATTTATTTTATTATTTATTTATTTATTTTTGGCTGTGTTGGGTCTTTGTTGCTGTGCGCGGGCTTTCTCTAGTTGTGGCGTGGGCTTCTCATTGCGGTGGCTTCACTTGTTGCGGAGCACGGGCTCTAGGCGCACGGCCTCAGTAGTTGTGGCTCGCGGGCTCTAAAGCGCAGGCTCAGTAGTTGTGGCTCACGTGCTCTAGAGTGCAGGCTCAGAAGTTGTGGCACATGGGCTTAGTTGTTCTGCACCATGTGGGATCTTCCCAGACCAGGGCTCGAACCCGTGCCCCCAGCATTGGCAGGCGGATTCTTAACCACTGCACCACCAGGGAAGTCCCCAATAGGTTAAGTTATGTAACATTCTCTTTGTCATTTTGGAACGTGTTTGGGGGTTCTTAGTAACTACTCCATATAATACTTCAACTTTATATTTTGACAGACTAATTTTAAACTCAAACTTAAGCATGTACCACAGACCTGGTCTTTACTTTCTCCACCTAAGAAATGTGGATGCTGCTACCAAGCTTACAGAGGGTTGTGTGGATTAAATGAAATAAAATATGAACTCCCCAGAGTAGTTTCTGGTAGATAATAGATGCTCAAATTTTATTTTCTCTTCTTTCTTTGTGTAGCTAGACAGTGAGACATTTGAATTACTGTATATCTGTTTCTAAAACGTGGAGAGGCGTGCTTGATTTTTCAGATTAGTGAATCTCTGCAAATACACAATTTTCAGTGAAAATATCATCTCTAATAAAAGGGTGCATAATTACAATCTAAATGGAAAAAGTTTTATTTTTGAACACTTGGACAGTCTTTCTCTTGGAATATATTTGTTTTTTTAATTAGAATTTTAATATTTATATTTTAGAAACTTTTGGATTTAATAGAAGACTTGAAAAAAAAACTAATAAATGAAAGAAAAGAAAAGTTAACATTGGAATTTAAAATCCGTGAAGAAGTTACACAGGAGTTTACTCAGTATTTGGCTCAACGGGAAGCTGACTTTAAGTAAGTTTTTTCGTTCATGTCCTGGTAAAAATTGAGAATTTTATTTACCTGTTTAAAATTTTTTTTTTGGCTTTTTATTTTATATTAGGTGACTTCTGAATTCTGACCTTCATGCAGGCTTGAAAATAGCTGTTACTAATCCCCATGGTGATTGTGAATTATACATGAATGATTATTTAAACTGACTTTTAATTTATAATGTACCTAATCTTAGAAATTTAAAATAAAAGCACGAAGTAGTGCTTTTTCTGTTTCTTAATGGGATTAATTTCTGTTATGAAGGGAAACTCTCCTTCAGGAACGAGAGATATTAGAAGAAAATGCTGAATGTCGTTTGGCTATCTTCAAGGATTTGATTGGTAAATGTGACACTCAAGAAGAACCAAACAATGAAGATCATGCCGTGAAAGCTGAAACTGAAGTATGTTAACTGAAATATTAAATCCATGAGGTTTAGGTACCAGGATTTAGTATACCACATCAATGATGAGAAATATTAATATACTTTAGAATTAAAACAAAAAACTTAATATGTAGCTTTATTATAATTAAGCATGCTTTGTTAAGAATGTAAGCACAAATAGTTTAAATATAGCTATTGAACTTATAAAAATATATATCTGTTACATTTATATCTCAGTCTGGTGTTGATTAAGTCATTGTGTTGATTGTAGGTAGATACCTTTTTGTCTGATTATGGGATACCCCTCTCAGATTTGTCTTAAACTTAAAGAATTTTAAATGGCTGAGAGACCTAAAGGGTCATTTAGTTCTGTTCTGATTAAAACAAAAATATTTATATATAGAAAGATCACTCTTGCTTGGCTGACTGACCATTCCCTACTGTTGAGGAAACATTCTTTCCTGCTGCTCCTACTGAAGCTGAAATTAATCTCATCTTTTTGGAAAGTTTGTTTTTGTTTTCCTTTGCTTTTTAATTACTCAGTTCAGGGGGTCTGGGATGGTGATGTCCAGGCTCTTGCTTTCAAACCATCATTATGTGTCCCTGACATAGTTTGGGATTTGGTCTGAATTATGAAACTGGAAATTTGTTTCCTGCGCTAGCCTACTGAAAGTATACCTGAAACATTATTCCTCCATAAAAACAATGTCATAAACTATGATAAGCCATTACAGAACAATTACGATTACCTAGTTCAGGTATACTTTCAGTAGGCTAGCGCAGGAAACAAATTTCCAGTTTCATAATTCAGACCAAATCCCAAACTATGTCAGGGACACATAATGTTTCATGTTCCATAGAACAGAAAGTGAGTAATGGAGCACAACTTTTTCATAATTGGAGGTAGTTCTATATAATCTATTTAAAAATTTTAAAGTTGTGAATTTTTTTGCTGTTTATTTTTAAAACTATCTCAATCAGATGATACCACACTGAAATAGTGAAAGCCACTGTTAACATTAGGTATGTGGATTTTGCTATTTTTAGGAAGGACAGAATTATGTAGGAATTGAAGATATTATTGGTTCTCTTCAAGATGATGTCACTGATATTAAGAAACAGGCTGAAATAGCTCACTTATGTATTGCATCTCTTGCTGACCCCCAGGAAGCTATTGCTTGTTTAGAATTAAAGTTTAATCAAGTTAAAGCTGAATTAGCTAAAACCAAAGAAGAATTAACCAAAACCCAGGAAGAGTTAAAAAAGAGAGAAAATGGTAAGTGGATGTATTTTACCCCTATGTAGATGTTATAAATTCATAAAAAGACAGTTGGTAAGTATGAGATTTATGCAGCTTATTTACCAAGTGGCCAGAAAATGATGGCGGTAATGTATTTAATATTTTACCATTTGTATGAGTTTATAGTAACTTACTAGTACAAATATTTTTTTGCTTTTCTTTACTTTTAGACCAATGTTACTAGAAAACAGGCTTCTCAAAAAACACCAAAAACTAAGTACAGCTTTATCAGCAAATTAAGAAATCTCATAGGAAATTGTATAGCTGTAAATTTTGTCTATATATATATATTATATATTTACTTAAATATAAATATATTTATATTTATATAAATATAAATATATATATGTATATATATGTGTGTGTGTGTATATATATATATATATATATATATGGTTTGTCACATCTGAGTTTCAAGTGTTAGATGAAATACTCTGCCCTTTTCTGTGTGAAACAAGATGGGTGGAAAATAACAGGTAAGTGATGTCTCATTCTGAAGTGTATCAGAAAGGTACCAGCTAATTCTTTTCTGACATTATACCAGAAATTTTTTACTATTGAGCATACGTGTTTCATTTCTACCCTAAGTTTTGAAAGTGGCTTTTTCAGAAACATTACTCTCTGGTGGTAGAATTTGTAGCTAAGTGCTTGTGTGCTTCTAGTGCTGTGAAAATCCTTTTTCCTGAGTATAACAATAAAGCGTCTACTATAGCAGCTTATGTTTCATGATTATTCAGTGATATATTTTTTTAGGTGCTTAGATATTCATTTTTAATATTCTTATTTTTTCAGAATCAGAAATTAATTTAAATTCATTGGTTCAAGAGCTTGAGAAGTCTATTAAGGTAATACTTTTAAGTTTTATTTTGTCTTGATAAGGAAATTAATAATTAAGTAAAATAAGCAGCATGAATTATGACTAGGTATGTCTATTTTAAAAATAAAGTAATAAATGAATGTGATAAAAAAAATTGATGAGCATAAGTGCCTTCACCCTCATACCTCTTTCCAAAGATGGCCTCTGGAAAGTTTCTTTAGTCTTTCCAGAAAAGGTGTGTGTGTGTGTGTGTGTGTGTGTGTGTGTGTGTGTGTGTATATATGAAGCAAACACACTTTTAAAAAAATTTGTACAAATGGGATTGTAGTTCTGTGTCTTGCTTTCTTCCCTTAGAAGACATCTTAGAGATAATTGTATGGCAGCACATACAGATCTATGTCATTCTTTTACTAGGTTTATTGTGTTGGTTAGATATATTTAAATGGTGTTTATTTTGTCTGAAGTTACTGAGTGTTCTAAAATTTAGGATATGGCCTGAGCAGTGTGCAGCATTGGAATCCTGAAAATCTCTAGCACTTTGTACCTTCAGATCAGATAATTACTCTAAATGGTTGTAGATGAATTTGACATTGATAGATATAAATATGAAATTGCAGGTATACATAGAGGTGAAGTGAATTTAAAATTCTAAACTTAATATTTTTCCTGACCTTCTCTTAACTTACATTTGTCCTTCTAAAGAACTGAATATTTTAAGATATGATCAGATATAAATAATTCAAGATCTTGGTATCTAATACCCAGTACTTAAAAAGGTAACCAAAATAATGTACTTAGTACAAGACATTACAGTTATTGTTTACACAATTCGTGATCTTTTCCTTTTCCTTTATTTTTTCTAGTTACAAAAATAGCTGCTAGTTGTAAAAATTCAGCTATATTAAACTATGTAAAGTAGAAAGTACAGTAGTACCCCATAATGTCTCTCCTACATCAAAACCAAAACAAAACCAACTTGGCTGGTAGCTCTTTGAGACTTTTATATATATCCATTTTTATAGAACATTTACTATGAACTCTTAAGTTCTTTACATATATTTACTTGTTTAAATCTCAGAACAATCTTATGATGTAGATACTGTTATTTTTTATTTTTATGGAGGTGTCAAATAACTTGCCTAGGGTTAAGAGAACTTAACCTCATGGTGTTGATTAACTGTTGATCTAGGGTCACTGTTCCAAAGGTTGTTTTGAAAGCAGACTCTTAATGATTAAAAGTTTGTTTTGCATGGTTCTTTAGCATCCTTCCTACCAAGCATACCCTAGGCAGAAAACATTCCTTTGAATAACTGAGATTTGTGGAGGATGGATTTTCTTGGTGAAGATTGTATAATTTGAAGGAGGAAAAAAATGACTAGGTGATTATGATAAGTCTGAGAGTGGAAGAGGAGACAACTTGAAATTGTCATGGTCTGTTTGAAAACTCAAAGTTTGTCAGAGGTCTGATCCCTCTACCCCAGGATTTTGTCATTTATCAGCGACACCAAGGGACTAATTGTGAAAAAGCATGTAGGTTGTTCTTCATGATATCCTTTGTTTAGGGATATCTAAAAGGACTTTGCTTTTTTTTTTTTTTTGTAATAATGCATTACTTTTTGACTTAAAGTCATTTTATCTATGTCTCTTAAGAACATTTGCTGATTTTACGATGTAAAATGATGTTTTGTTTTCTCATATAGTTTTTTTTCCCCCCAAAAATGGATTGCTACCAGTATGTAGGGATTTAATTAATCTCTGCTTTTAAAAAAATCTCTGCCTTTACCATACTTTTAATTACTTTATAAACATACACTTAACTGCTAAGGTTTCACCCTTCCTCTTTCTGGGTACCTTTTCTTCTGCCGTCCTTTTAGGGAGGCATAGTCTTTGCCTTAAAAAATAAAAATCTAAATGGCTTTTATCATCTAGATAAACTAGGAACTCATTTTTTTTTTTGGTTTTTTTTGTTTGTTTGTTTCCACCTGCAGAAGGATTCACATTTATTGGTTCAAATACAGTACCTAACATTTGCTAAACATGCATTTCACACTACTTGGTCACATCTCCACAGGTAGTCAATGCACAGAAGAGGGTCCATCCTTTGCCAGATGGTAGGGTGGGAGGTAGCAGAGGGACTGGGTAGCAGAGCTTGCCAACTATCATTTGGTCATGAAAGGTTGATGGAGCCAGGTTGGTGGGCAGTCCTTGTCCAGCCCGCTGGGGACAAGGGCCCAGAGACATCCTGTTTGCTTGGCTCATATACAGGACTGTGGGTAGAGGTGGGCCTCAGGTAGGCAGCCCAGGGGTAGGCTCACGGATGCATGTTGCCACCGGAGCTCTGAAGGTGGTGTCATGGGAGGTGGTGCTAGGAGTTCACTTTTAAAGCAGTGTGTAGACTGTGTATCTTTGATATACATAAGCTAGAAGCTAAGGCTAGAACCTTTTCTGCGACTTGTGAACAAACTAACAAAGACATTGTTACTTTGAGAAGCTTTGGTTGTAAAACAATTGATGAGTTTCTCCAGTTACTCAAGATTCCTCAAGATTTTAAGTAAAAGTACCTATAAGAAACAATTTTGTCATAGTGTTTTCATATTTTTCTTTTCAAAGCACATTTTGTTTATGACTTAGGGTAAGTGTTTTAGGGTTCTGTGGTTATCTGCAAATAAGTCTCTAACCCACCTGATTCCCTTAGAAAATCTAAAGATGAATTTGTTTTTAGTATCGGGGTGAAACTGCACACTTAACAAGTTTTTTTTTGTCCTTAGTGAATGTACAAGTTAGTTAATATTGCTCACTTCCTAGAGCCATTGGTTATTTTAGGGTGAGATTTAAGAAATAACTTAGAAAATGTTTCAATAAACTTGAAAATAAAATTTTTATGATACAGTATTGAATCATAATTTATATAGTTCTTAAATGTATTATAGCTTTCTATATGTGAACTAATTTTAATTTATTTTACTTTAGGACAATGCTGGTACATCTACTTTAATAATAAACAATAAATTGGTTTGTAATGAAATGATTGAAATGTCTAAGGACAGCAAAACTAAAACCTATTCAGGAAGAAAAAGATTAAATGAAATTGAACTTCAACAAGATGAACCACCAGCAAAGAAAGGTACTCTTCAGCTGCTAGCAGGAGGCTTTCAAGAAAGCTAACTCCTAAACCAGGAAACAGAAGGGTTGTAAAGAGAAGGAAATTTACTTATCTAAGGAAAAAAAACTGAGAAAATATAAATGTCCCTAAGTTTTACACTAACATGTTATAAACTGTCTAGAGGATGGGTATATTTAAAGCTGCCTTTAATAAGTATGTTTTTAGATATTGTGCTTTTATCACTTTAACATGGCAATAATTCTTTTACTTCTGTGCCTGTAGTAGTTAAAAGTCATCACTTTCATCTTCATGATTAGAGTACATTTTCTGCCAAAATTTCTCCACATTGTTGTTTCATTTGAAGAAAAAGCCATTTGACAGTAAGACTTTGAGCTAAACATTACTAAAGACAAATGTGGTCAAGTTTTGTTTTCTATGAAATTACTAAAAAAAAAGTGGGCACATGCTTCTCTATACTATACATCCCTGGTTATATGGAAGAACATGGCAGCTTTCACCTTGTCTCTAAGCTATTCATTCTGTCTTTTGGAAAACTTTTACAGTCTGATACAGGGAGGGAGGCCTTTCTAAGAGAAGGTGCATTAGCTTTAGAAACCTAATTAGCAGAAAGAGAAAAACAAATCTCGTATATTAATGCATATATGCGGAATCTGAAAAAATTGCTAGAGACGATCTTATTTACAAAGCAGAAATAGAAACAGAGACGCAGAGAACAAACATATGGATACCAAGGGGGAAGGGGTGTGTGGGATGAATTGGGAGATTGGAATTGACATATATACACTACTGATACTATATATATAAAACACATAACTAATGAGAACCTACTGTATAGCACAGGGAACTCTACTCAGTGCTCTGTCGTGACCTAAATGAGAAGGAAATCCAAAAAAGAGGGGATATATGTATACATATAGCTGATTCACTTTGCTGTACAGTATAAACTAACACAATATTGTAAAGCAACTACACCCCAATAAAATTTTTTTAAAAGATGGATTTAGAATGTTATTAATATTTATGAGTAATAATATATTATGAATTATGAACCAAAAAACCCCAAAGAAACCTAGTTAGCTGCTTCACCTTGAGAAAAATGGATAAATTAAGTCTTTCTTTGGTCATGAGTAAAATAAGTTAAATATACCTGCCTCCTGAGGTTGTTAAGAATAAAAACAATTGGCTAATACAACAATATAATAAACACCTCATAGAACCTCAGTAAAATTAATGTTTTCAAAAGTAGATAACTTAAAGGATAATATAGCACTAGATATATTAATCCAATAAAGTGTGAGCTAATAGATTGAGACTAATATGCATGGTCACCTTCTGTTATCATTGAAGGAGTGGTACCTTAGCTACAGGGAGTGTAACCTTGTTATGATTTCCATAGCACTGTTCCTCTAGTTTTTCACCTTGATCGGTGCCACAGAGTAGTTGAGAATATAGGGTAGTTGAGAATGCAGGAACAGTAGATCGCTAGGAAGTGGAAGTGAAAGTTGGCAGAAGCGAGTGATCTACGTGGTATGACTAATCCTAAGGGTAACCCATTCATGAAGAAGGTGATTGTATAATAACTCTAGTTGTTAGTGACAAATAATTTGGATATGGGTAGATTTAAGTAAGTTTAGGTAACATAAAGTATTTTTTTTTCCTCCTTAAATTCGTAACCACTGTGGCTGTTTCTCAATTATTTGTTGTTAGAGACTAAAGGGACTACATAAAGGATCATAAAATTGTAGCTATAGCCCCCCTTCTTCCCCTCTACCTGCTACTAAAAAATCTCCAGAACAAAATATGTGACTCCTATAAATACTAGGATAGGATTAGGGGGTTGATAGTTTTACTGAATGTATGTTTTCTGTTCTTAAAGGGAATGCAAAGCCATTTCCCTATGAAAGTGAATTTACTTGTTTGAGGTCACTGTATCTGTACTTTGGGAAGCTGATAACCATGTAAACGGTTCAAGAAATAAGCCTTCAGAATAGTGATAAAGGAGACAAACCAGAGATATGCTACAATCTGCTTACCTGTAACTTTTCAACCAGAACTAATTTTTGTAGCAAAATATAGGTAAGCAGTATATGTATAGGTTGAATGTGATAGAAATATTGAATTAAAGTAATTATCTTTCTATTTATGTTTACTTTTTATGTTAACCTATATTAGGTTTATATACAGTAAAACCTATTTCATCTTTATTGCTAGACTAATGCTTTAATTTCTCACTGACAAGGCTGTTCTGAATATGTTCTATGAATCTTTTGATATAAAACATAAAAATTTCTGAAAGAATAATATGAATATCTGAACAAGAAAATCAGGTGCAAAACAAATTATCTGAAGTACCTTATGTAATTATCCTAGTTATTTTTTTTAAATAAATTTATTTATTTATTTTTGGCTGCATTGGGTCTTTGTCGCTGTGCGCATGCTTTCTCTAGTTATGGTGCGTGGGCTTCTCATTGCGGTGGCTTCTCTTGTTGCGGAGCACAGGGTCTAGGCGCGTAGGCTTCAGTAGTTGTGGCACACGGGCTTAATTGCTCCGCGGCATGTGGGATCTTCCTGGACCAGGGCTTGAACCCGTGTCTCCTGCATTGGCAGGCGGATTCTTAACCACTGCACCACCAGGGAAGTCCTATCCCAGTTATTGAAATATAGTAAAATTAAGAGAACAACATTACTTGATCACAAAAGCTTTATTGCACTTACTGTAATTCACTTCAGGGTTTAGGGACTATATCCATATAGTATACATGACTCAAATCTCTTCTCAGGATATTCAGGATTTATTTGTGAGCTCTGAATTTCTGATTGTTGTCATTTTTAACTTGCTTAGATCCCATCTTTCTCTCCTGATAAAGGGTTCAGACATCTTTATAACTTGTCTTCTTAAAGGGCAAAAGGATTAGTCATTTCCACTGATGAAGTCATAGGTGAGAAAATTACATCATAAGTTCAGAATTACTTAAAGGGAAAATAGAACAGAGGTATGAATCAGTGGAAAAGCCAGTTATTCCACTTTGGGATGACTTGCCACAGCTTTGTAAGATGTTAGGAGACAATCTGATAAAAGTAATGCACTGGTTGAACATTATTTTTAAAAATTCATAAGAGTAAATGGGCAAGTTTGTTGTAAACGTAAATAGGAGTGAATCTCTAAGTTTCCAGAGTAGATGGAATCCTTAGAATAAACTGAAGGAACTAAATTAGGAAAATGTAAGTACAAACATAGGAAAATCATCAAAAATAAACTCAACAGCTTTTCAGAAAGCAGGCTATAGAGCAGGGGTAATGCCATGTTTTTCCTGTCCTTTTTGAGGCAGAAGAGACAATGTAAGTTATAGGTAGTAAAACCTTGTCCAATGAGCTTTTAAAGTTAGTCTGTTAAAGAGATCTTGGAATCCTGTTATGGGATTACGTAATTACTGCTGCCCAAGAGCATTTAAACAATCCGGTGAAGGAAAAGAATATGGATTGTATTTGAAAAATGGAAACTTACAAATAAAACTTGCTTTCACATGTATACTACTGAATGTAAAATTGGATAAATTCTTGGATGGAGTAGGGAGGTGAGATTTCCAAATTATATAGTGATTTTTGGGGTGAGGGGATACTTTCACTGGGGACATCAGTATCTTGAGAGGACTGGGATTTTTTTCTCAGCCTTACTGAGGTACAATTGACCAATAATTTTGTAATATATTTAAAATGTTTAACATGATTTGATATACATTGTGAAAAGTTTCCCACCTTATCACCATTAATTAATACATCTGTCACCTCACTTATTCACCTATTTTCCCCCTCTTTTTTCTTTTTTGGTGAGAACAGTTAAGTTATACTCTCTAGGCAAATTTCAGTTATACAATACAATGTTATCAATTATAGTCACCGTATTATACTTAGATCCTATGACCTTATTCATCTTAAACTGAAAAATTATACCCTTTTACAAGCCTCTCCCTATTTTCATCACCCCTCATCCCCTGACAACCACCGTTCTACTCTCTGTTTCTATGAGTTGGATCTTTTTTTCTCCTCGTATTGATACCATACAATATTTTTCTTTCTCTATGTGACTTATTTCACTTATTTCACATAATGCCCTCCAAGTTCATCCATGTCATTGCAAATGGCAGGATTTCCTTCTTATTTAGGCTGAATAATAATAGTCCATTGTATACATATTTATTCCACATTTAAAAAAATCCATACATCCATCCACGGACACTTAGGTTGTTTCCATGTCCTGGCTATTGTAAAAAATGTTGCAATGAACATAGAGCATGAACTTGCATGAACTTTGAGATAGTAATTTCATTTCCTTTGGATATATACTCAGAAGTGGGATTGTTAGCTCATAAGATAGTTCTATATTTAATTTTTTGAGGAACCTTTATACTGTTTTTCTAGTGGTTGTACTACTTTATATTTCCATCAACTGTGTGCAGATTCCCTTCTCCCCTCATCCTTGCCAGCATTTGTTATCTCTTTTTTTTTTTTTTTTTTGCCCGCGCCGTGTGGCATGTGGGATGTGGGATCTTAGTTCCCTGACCAGGGATCAAACCCGTGTCCCCTGCATTGGGAGCGTGGAGTCTTATCCGCTGGACCACCAGGGAAGTCCCTGTTATCTCTTTTTGATAATAGACAGCCTAACGCATGTTAAGTGATATCTCACTGTAGTTTTGATTTGCATTTCCCTAATGATTAGTGATGTTGAACACCTTTTCCTGTACCTGTTGACTATTTGTATGTCTTCTTTGGAAAAGTGTCTGTTTAGTTCCTCTACCCATTTTTAAATTGGATTGTTTGGCTTTTTGGCTGTTGAGTTGTATGAGTTCCCTATATATTTTGGATATTAACCCCTTGTCAGATAGACGGTTTGCAAATATTTTCTCCCATTCCATGGGTTGCCTTTTCATTTTGTTGACTGATTCATTTGCTGTGTAGAAGCTTTTTAGTTTGATATAGTTTCACTTATTTATTTTTTGCTTTTGATGCTCAAGCTTTTGGTGTAATATCTAAAACCTGTTGCATAGTCCAGTATCAAGGAGCTTTTCTCCTATGTTTTCTTCTAGGAGTTTTATGATTTCAGGTGCTATGTTTTAAGTCCTTCATCCATTTTGAGTTGATTTTTATAAGTGGAGTAAGATAGGAGTTCAATTTCATTCTTTTGCATGTGGATATCCAATATTCCCAACACAATATTGAAGAGACTGTCCTTTTCCATTGAGTATTCTTGGCTTTCTTGTTAAATAAGCTGGACATATGTGTGTGGGTTTAATTTTGGGCTTTTGAAACTATTTCATTGGTCTATGAATCTGGTTTTATGCCAGTACCATACTGTTTTGATTACTGTAGCTTTATAGTATAGTTGAAATTAGAAAGTGTAATGCCTCCAACCTTGTTCTTTCTCAAGATTGCTTTTGCTATTCGGGTCTTTTGTGGTTCCATGTGAATTTTTAGATTGCTGTTCTATTTCTGTGAAAAATGCCATTGGAAATTTGATAGGTATTGAATTGAACTTGTAGATTACTTTGGGTAATATGGACATTTTAACAATATTAATTCTTCTAATCCATGAACATGGAATATCTTTCCTTATTTTGTATGTCTTTTTTCATTCTCTTTCACCAGTGTTTTATAGTTTTCAGTGTAGAGGTTTTCACCACCTTGGTTAAAGTTATTCCTAAATATTTTATTCTTTTTTATGCTATTGTAAATAGGTTTTCTTTTCTTATTTTCTCTTTCTGATAGTTTGTTGTTAGTGTACAGTTTTTTGTTTTGTATAGTGTTTCTTGTATATTGATTTTGTATCTTCCAACTTTAGTGAATTTCTGTATTCCAAAGGTTTTCTGGTGGAGTCTTTAGGATTTTCTATAAAATTCTGTCATCTGTAAACAGACAGTTTTACTTCTTCCTTGCCAATCTGGATACAGTTTGTTTCTTTTTCTTGCCTGATTCTCTGGCTCAGATTTCCAGTACTAATGTTAAATAGAAATGGTGAGAGTGGACATACTTGTTTTTTCTTGATCTTAGAGGAAAAGCTTTCAGGTTTTCATGGTTGAGGATGACATTAGCTGTGGGTTTGTCATATATGGCTTTTATTATGTTGAGGTACGTTCCCTCTCCAGTCTGTTGAGAGTTTTTATCATGAAGGATGTTGAATTTTGTTAAATACTCTTTCTGCAGCTAGTGAAGTGATCATATGATTTTTATTCTTCATTTTATTAATAGAGTATATCACATTTACTGATTTGCATATATTGAACTATCCTTGCATCTCTGGGATAAATCCCCCTTGATCATGATGTATGATCCTTTTAATGTGCTGTTGAATTCAATTTGCTGATATTTTGTTGAGGATGTTTCCATCTATGTTCATCAGTGATATTGACCTGTAATTTTCTTTTTTCTAGTGTCCTTGTCTAACTTTTTTATTTGGGTAATGCTGGGAGAGAGCTGTGATTTTAATTTATCAAATGGGGTCATAAGATTAAAAATCTTGTACAGTCACTTAAGTTTTTTCCCCCGCATTATATAATAGTATCTGAAAGACCTTTCATAAATGCTTGTGCTTTTTCTTTATTTTTCTCACAATGTCAACTGTGATTAGCATATAGGAAGATAGAAACCTATTTGTATGTAGGATAGTAGATTTAATTTTAAATATCTTTTCATGATCTTGAAAATGCCTTCTTAATTGAACAGATTCGTTACATAGAGTACTATTATCTCTCATCTAGGCTGCATGAGAGCCTGCCACAGACAGGAGGAAAAACTTAAGGGCTTGTATGTCATTACTATGTGATATTTGACATTTATCTCTTATGGAACAGTTACATGTAGGGCTGCCATATAGGGGCTTAGTAATGAAGCAAACTGATATGTTTAGATCCCAAATGTTATTACACGGGTGACTATCAAGGTCTTCCAGAAATTTAGAAAAATAGATTCCTGGAGTAGTGTGCATGTACCCTCAAAGTGTTTGCGTGTACAATACATTCCAGATTTATCAAGTCAGTATGTTTGGTATTTGTTCTCAAGAATCTATATTATAAGCTCTTTTGCCAATTCTCTAAAACTAGAGAACCACTGTTATAAAAAAGGCGCTGTAAAGAGAACAGCTCAAAATTTAAAACAAAATTGCACTAAAGTAACCACGTTAATATAACTGAGGCATGTTAGATTATAAATTTGCACATATCTAGAACCAGAATAGTTTACTGATGACAAAAGTTATGTTTTTCTGATATAATGATAACGTCTTAGAGATAGAAAAGGAGAACATAAGCTATGTAGCTAAATTTCAAAAATAATTCATTTACGGGGACCTCCATGGTGGTCCAGTGGGTAAGACTGCAGTCCCAATGCAGGGGGCCTGGGTTCAATCCCTGGTCAGTGAACTAGATCCTGCATGCATGCTGCAACTAAGAGTCCGCATGCTGCAACTAAGAAGCCTGCATGCTGCAAATAAGACCTGGCACAGCCAAAACAAATAAATAAATATTTTTAAAAGTTCATTTAGGATTATTGTTCATGTATATAAAGATGCATTAGACACAGAGAGTCTGCTGTCAGGAAGTTTGGAATCTAGTAAATGAGAGTGACAAACATATTATTTCAGTATAATCTAATGTGCTCAGATGCATAGTATAATATGGTGGCACACACTAAAAAGAAAACTATAAAATACACTTTTTAAAGATTCATTGGACAGTTACCAACTGAAAGTAACAGGTTTCTTAGTTAGGAGAATTTCAATCCATCTCTCCCTTATAACTGTCTTCTGCTCTTATGGATTTTATATTATATCTGGTGCCTTTAAGCATGAGGAGTTCGATTCTCAACATGCTTAGTGAGACTACCCAATAAAAATATAGGTAAAATTGACAGATAAGTGGCCAGTGGGGGAGTGAATGAAGGTCAAAGGACATGTTGAGTTGATTATATCAGTACAGTATTGTGTAGAAACTTCATAAAAATTGTATTAGAGTTGTGTATATAAAGTTCACACATATAAACATCAAACCATGAAGTGAAATAGAACAGGAAAAAAATTTAAAAACCAAAGCATCAGATTCTTATATGTTTTGAAGTAATTTTCCCAGGATATGAGACACTCATCAGATCAGTTATTATATCAATGGAAATTGTATGAAGACATAAAAAGATAAATTTGTGTATCTGGAGAATTGAGAATTATGTTTCAAGAGTTAATCATGTCATCTGTGAGAAAAATTTGAACATAGTTTATACTGGACAGTTGTGTGAGATGAATTAATTTGTCAAATATTAAGAATTAAGTTTTAGCTAATAGTGCATCTTCTCTGGACATAGTTTAATCTATACCAACTATGTTCTTGTGCTTGTATAACATTTACAGAATGCTTTAACATACATTATATATTAACTTATTTGGCCCTCTTAACACTATCCTGTAGTAAGTAGGGCAGGTAGAAATATCCTTATTTTAGAAATGTAGATATTAAGCCTGGAAAAGACAAACTTTTATTTATTTTTCATTAGCTGAACTCTTCTGTACAGATTTTCAGTTTCTAATAATATCTAACTGTATCCCAAGCACCGTGTTCTAAGCTCATTGATTATCTTGATCTTCACAGTAACTCTGAGATAGGTGGTATTATTGCTATTATTTTCCATTTTCCATTCGAGGAAGCAGCTGTGGGGTCAAGCAGTTTATTGACAGTTATGCAGCTAGTGAAGGGTAGGGCTACATTAGACTTGGCATAAATTTAACCATTTTTCTCCTAATTTTACCTGTGAAAGTATCAGGTACTCAGTTTGCAAATCACTAATTTAGTAGATCTACAGTATAATTGTACTTTAAGACTGTTCTTTAGTCTGCCTTAGGGTATAATTCCCTACCTTCTATCTCATAGTAATCATAAGGATTTGTAGTAGACAATTTAAATAACATAAAAGCTATAAAAAGAAAGTAGAAGTAACTAGTAATCCCACTCAGAAGTAGTTACCAGGATTTTCTTGCACATCCTTTGCTAACTTTTCCTGCTGTGACTTAATGGAACTACAATTTTTACATAAATTGGTGTATGCTATGTATGTTTTGCAACCTGATTTTTCTTTTTTACTCGATAGCTTATTTCTGTTTTTCATTAAAAGCGTGCTTTCGTATGTTTCCTATGTTTGAATATTGGCTTATATGGTAACTTTTTGATTTTTATTAAGGTTTGCTAGATTAATAATAATTTTTTTTATTTTTAAAGGACCTACACATGTTAGTCCAGCCATCACTGAAAACCAAAAGAAAAGTGAAGAAATGCAAGAGAGCATTTCAGAAGATGAGGAAAACATTAGAGTTTTACAAGAAAACAATGAAGAGCTGAAAACACGTTTACTCATTGTTGAGAATGAACTTAAAAATGAAAAGGAAGAAAAAGCAGAATTAAATAAACAGATTGTCAGTTTGCAGCAGGAACTCTCTTCTTCTGAAAAAAAGAGTTGTAGTTTTAGTGTAGAGGTCCAACAAATTCAGTCGAATTATGACAATGCGATTTCTGAATTACATGTGCAGAGAGGCATAAACCAAGAGCAGGAGGAGAGGATCATGAAATTGTCAAAGGAGATAGAAACTGCTAGAAGAAACATCACAAATAATGTTTCACAAATAAAATTAATGCAAGCAAAAATAGATGAATTGCGTACACTTGATTCAGTTTCTGAGATCTCAGACATAGATTTACTCAATCTCAGGGATCTGTCAAATGGTTCTCAAGAGGATAATTTGCCGAATACACAGTTACATCTTTTGGATAATGATTATTTGATAAGTAAGCAAGTTAAAGAAAATGGTATTCAAGAACTTGGTAGGGAAAGGTCTTTCCACTCTACTGTTGAAGCCATTTGGGAAGAATGTAAGGAGATTGTAAAGAGTTCCTCCAAAAAAAGACATCAGATCCAGGAACTGGAAGAACAAATTGAAAAATTACAGGCAGAAGTAAAAGACTGTAAAGATGCAAACAATAGACTAAAAACGGAGGAGAGGGAGCATAAAGATCTACTAAAAGAAAAAGAAAGTCTTATACAGCAGCTGAAGGAAGAATTGCGAGAAAAAACTGTTGGTCTTGATATTCAAGTACAGCATGTAGTTGAAGGAAAGAGAGCACTTTCAGAACTTACTCAAGATGTTACTTGCTATAAGGTGAAAATAAAGGAACTTGAAGCAATGTTAGAAACTCAGAAAGATGAATGTAGCCGTTCAGCCAAGTTAGAACAAGAAATTATGGAAAAGGAATCTATCATTTTAAAGCAAGAAAGAAATCTGAAGGAATTTCAAGCAAATCTTCAAGATTCTACCAAAAACGCCAAAGATTTAAGTGAAAGGGAAGTCAAATTGAAAGAAGAAATCACAAAATTAACAAACAATTTGCAAGATGCAAAGCATTCACTTCAATTAAAGGAAGAAGAAAAAGAAACAAACTGGCAAGAAACAGAAAAGTAAGCTAAAAGTTATTAAAATGTTTGAAAATATGGAAAGCATTTATTGACTTTTCTGTGTAGCTTTTAAAGAATCTGGGTGGGCATATCTTAATCTGGTTAAGTATTACATGTATGATGACTGAAGAGCTTCAATTTTGTTTATATAAACCTTTGGAACCAAAAGTTATATGCAAAGATCTGTTTATAAAATCTCCTGAAATCCTCCTTGAAAGATTTCTTCATGGTTTGGACATTCCAAATTTGTGAAAAGATCTAATTTTGTATATTATTAGTAGCTCACGCATATGATTCTAAGTGATTAGTGATATGTCACTATAGATAAGTGATTTTTTTTTTAGGTTGAAAGAGGAGCTCTCTGCAAGTGCTGCTCTTACCCAGAATCTGAAAGCAGATCTTCAGAAGAAGGAAGAAGATTATGCTGAGCTGAAAGAGAAACTGGCGGATGCCAAAAAGCAGATTGAGCAAGTACAGAAAGAGGTAGGTTATTTGAAAAAGTGTGTGGCCAATTTAAATGATAAAGATTGTTTCCCTTATATATCAAGTTTAGACACTAAGTTTAGTATTGACCAGAACATTTGTCAACTCCATAATTTTTCTTAAATGATGAGAAAAGTTATTTCACAAAAGAAAATTTAGTCAGATTAAACAAACTGAAGGATGTCTAATATTAAGAAAAATATGTGCCTTATGTAAGATTAGAACCTTTTTTTTTTCTTTTAAGGGCTGCTAAGTTCAAGTCCCCCCAGAAAAGTAAATAGCAAACTTTTGTTTGCAGATAGTATTTAGGAGAGTATGTAGTGCAATTGTAACAAGTTTTTATTATAATTTGATTTAAAAATAGGAAATATAATCACATGATTCCAAATTTAAAATATATGAAAATATGTATAGTGAGGGAAAAAACCGCCTCCCAGCCATCAAGTTTCCCTCCAAGGCGTCAGATGTTACCAACTATTTCTTTTTCTCTTTACTTCTCCCTCCTCCCTCTGTTTTTCCTTTATAAAAAATGGAAACATCCTATAAACACTATGTGAACTATGTGAACCTTGGTTTTCTTCTCTCAATATTTCCATCTCAGGATATAAAGAGTCTCCAAATGAGCTTTTTTTCTTTTTTATGACTCTGAACATTTATTTACCATTAATCAGCCCCGTATTGTTGGACAATTAAGGTAATTTCCAGTCTTCCGTTAATCATGCAGTGATGCCATTTTGAACATTTGCAAGTCTTCCTCTGGTATAAATTCCTAAAAGTGGAATTTATGGGTCACTGGTTTGTACATTTGTAATTTTGATATTTATTATGCTTTTTAGAGATTATGCTAGTTTACTCACCAAAACTAATGTATGAGAACAAGAGAGTATTTTTCTCTATACTCTTATCCACAAAGTAGTATTTTATCTTTTCTTTGTTGTTTGTTTTTGTTTTTGTTTTTTTGCATACGTGGGCCTCTCACCGCTGCAGCCTCTCCCATCGCGGAGCACAGGCTCTGGACGCGCAGGCTCAGCGGCCATGGCGCACGGGCCCAGCCGCTCTGCGGCATGTGGGATCTTCCCGGACCGGGGCACGAACCCGCGTCCCCTGCATCGGCAGGCAGACTCTCAACCACTGCGCCACCAGGGAAGCCCCTATCATTTTTTTTTTTGATATTTGCTAATTTGACATGTAAATAGTGTACCTCAACTATAATTCTAACTTGCATATCTCTAATTAAGAGTGAACATTTTTTGGTTTAAAATTCATTTGTATTTTTTTTTCCTGTGGTCTGTATATTCATACTCTTTGTATTTTAGTTTGGGTTATTGTTTTTCTTTTTATTATTGCTTTGTGGGAGCTTGTTACATACTTAGGAAATTAACTTTTTTTTTTTTAATTTAAGGGTGATTTATTTTACTTAAGGGTGGCAGTGGGAATAGTCATAGATTTCTAATACAAACCAAATACAAAAATCAAACAACCATAAGCATAATGAAAATCTAAATATGAAAAGCTAATCTTTTAGGAGAAAAATAAGGAGACTATCTTTTTGTTTGTTTGTTTGTTTTTTGCCAGTGGTAATGGATATGTAAGGATATTGACAACAACATTGGAATAGCAGAGGAATTGAAAATGCTATACATTGATCAATGGGAAACTAGCTAAATTAATTATATTGCATATACATAATAAAATACCATGAAGAAAGCAAACACATATATAGTCTTTGGTTGAACCATAGACCATTCTAAGTGCTCTACATTACATATACTATCTCACATAATTTCCCAACAATACTACTACTATCCCATTTTACATATGAGACAAGAAGTTAAGTAACATGCCCAAGATGACACATATATACATATATTTTTTTTCTACGTCATAATATTGACATTCAGTCCAGTAATCCTCCACTGTAGCAGCTCCTTTACTTTGCAGTGAAAATTGATTTGTATATTTTCTGGAAATTAACTTTTGAAGGATATTAATTATAGATATCCCCCTATCTCTCCCCCACATTGCCATTTTTCTTCATTTTGATTATGTTCTTTTTTTTGCCTTGGAGCAACTTATTTTTCTTTTATGACTGTGGGATTTTGAAGCATAATTAGACTTTTTTAAAAAGCTGAAGTAATTTTAAATATTTTTCATTACCTTGAGTTAGTTACAAAAGAATACTTAAATGTGTAAGGTCTGAAGAATATTGATACAACAAATGCTTGTGGGTCTCATCGATTTTCTGTTTCCTACCTCCACTGAGGTTACTGTAATGAATGTTTTGTGTTTATCTTTTTTTAATCTTTTAAAAATATAAGTTAAATCATATTTGTTTTTTTATCTCTAAACATTATGTCGTGTTCTGAGCATTTTCACATCATATTCCTGACATTTATGTATGGTTATAATTAATCACTTTCACTGCTGTGTAATACTCCACGTGTGACTATACAATTTAGTTATCTATTCTATAGTTATCTATTCTATTGTATTTAGTTATACAATTTTTGATTAATGGAAGAAAAATCCAAAAAATACCACCATAGATAAAATGCAAAATATATGTTGTTTCTGATAATTATACACAGAAAGTTTCCAGGCCACACAACAAGTATTTCAAAGTGGACTAGATTAGAAATGTAAGACAGTAAAGACGACCTAAACTGTAATTAGGCATCGGAAAATGTTTAGTCAGATCAGCAAGTTAAAAATCATAATTTGGAAAAGCACTTGTTTGTCATTCAGAAGCCTGAATTGTTTGCTTTCTAGGAATGAAATTTTGGCCAGGGCAGCCTTTGTTTCTCCCTTCACTGGATATAAATTACCTACCTTTGGATTTAGTGTAGATTCTGAACTTGTAAAATAAATTTCAAATGACATTTCGTTTTTAACACCTCAGGATCAAGACTAGAGCTTCTATAGGTGGTAGACAGGCTTGAAAGCTTTATAAATTCTGGGCAAATGACAGGTAAATGGATTAAATTACTCCAAAATATAAACTGCAGTCCTAGCCCTATGCACCTTATTGCCTTTTGTTAGGTTCCTTTCACTTAGCTAAGTAGTCCAGAGGGAACTTTGGATTTACATTCCTATTATCAGTCCACATGTTGTTCATAGTATCCTCAACAAAACAAATAAGGAAATAACCATTAGGCTGTATTTAAGCCTTCATACATTTTCCTCATTTCTATCAAATGTAATGTATGAGCAAGGCCTGTGTAGTTTGATTTTGAATTACTGATTGTGAGATCTGGTCTGCCTCTCTTGACTTTACTACAGGATAGGCTAGAACACCATTCCTTTGTCTTTTCTGATCTATTTAAAAAATATTTTTTTTTTTTGGCTGTGTTGGGTCTTCATTGCTGCGCACGGGCTTTCTTTCTAGTTGTGGTGAGCGGGGGCTACTGTTCGTTGCGGTACGTGGGCTTCTCATTGCAGTGGCTTCTCTTGTTGCAGAGCTCGGGCTCTAGGCACGCGGGCTCAGTAGTTGTGGCTCACGGGCTCTAGAGCACAGGCTCAGTAGTTGTGGCACACGGGCTTAGTTGTTCTGCAGCATGTGGGATCTTCCCGGACCAGGGATCGAACCCGTGTCCCCTGCATTGGCAGGCTTATTCTTAACCACTGCACCACCAGGGACGTCCTCTTAAAATGTTTTTTTGTTTTAGATTGTTGTAATATAGGTTGTTTATTTCTGTTAAGTGATATCCTGGCTGAAGATTCTTGGAGTATAGAAACTTCCTGGTTTAAGATACTATTTCTGAATACCATGATGATCAGTAAGCATTATCAAACATGGTATAATTGACTTGTATTCATATGGAGCTAGTTACTCAGTTCTTTAAAAATGGCTTCTTTTTCCAATTAAAAACTTTTCATTATAATACATTATTAGGAAATTTTTAAAAAATTAATTTATGTGTTTTTGGCTGCTTTGGGTCTTCCTTGCTGCACGCAGGCTTTCTCTAGTTGCGGCGAGCAGGGGCTACTCTCTGTTGCGGTGCACGGGCTTCTCATTGCGGTAGCTTCTCTTGTTGCAGAGCATGGGCTCTAGGCACGCAGGCTTCAGGAGCTGTGGCTCACGGGCTCAGGAGTCATGGCTCGCGGGCTCTAGAGCGCAAAGTGGCACACGGGCTTAGTTGCTCCACGGCATGTGGGATCTTCCTGGACCAGGGCTCGAACCTGTGTCCCCTGCATTGGCAGGCGGCTTCTTAGCCACTGAACCACCAGGGAAGCCCAGGAAATATTTTTTAAGAAATGAAGGTAAAAGTGAAAGCCTTCTCCCCAGTCTCATTTCTCTCTGCTTAAATATGACCACTCTTGACAGTCCTTCTGTATTCTTTTAGATCTTTTTATATGCATTTTACATAATAAATATATGTAAATAGTGCTTGTATGGTTTTATTTTTATAAATGGGATCAACTATATATAAATAATTCCTTTAAAAATATATTATAATTTTAAGATTTTTTTATAGCAGAATTTAGGTATTTCTTTTTAAGTAATGTTTTATTGTATAGATGACTATTTAACATTCCTCTAAGGGTGGGTATTAATAGTGTTTTCTGTTTTTCAAAATAAACAATGTATGATGTCAATGCTAATAATAATAGAAGCTTAGTCTGGATTGGTTGTTCTGAGTTTACATGTATCATCTCATTTAATTTTCACACAAATATTAGGGATAGGCATTTTTTTAACTTCCATTTTATGACTAAGGAAGTAGGCATTGAGAGAGAACTTGTCCAAGTTCACTTGGCCAGTAAATGTTAGAGCCAGGATGGAAACTGAAGCAGTCCTTATGTGCATCTTGGTGCAACACGTAGTTTCTGTACTTTATTGGCAGACAGTTTATATCTGTAAAATTGATGAAGATGGTGTTTATTACTGGAAGTCCCATATTTTTGAACAAAATAAGCCAATAAAAGTAAATATTATTAATGTATGATTATAAAAGGAATATATATTTATTGTAGTAAATTTGGAATATACAAAAAGCCTAAAAAGAAGTGTAAAAATCACCTGAAACCAAACCCCTCAGAACTATTATTTTATTATTATTTATTTTTATTATTTTATTATTATAAAAAGCTTGGAGATACCATGCTTTTTATGAAGGGGAACTTTGTTCAATTAACTTCCTTCAGTTTTTGAGATCTCTAGGATTGGTATCATGGAAATTGGACTAAAGGCGTACATAGATTACCTGCTATCTCTCCTCCCGTTCCCTTCCCTTTCCCCTCCTCTCTCCTCCTCTCCTCTAAGATTTGCATACTAATCATAGTGCTTTTTTATTTCTTTAATAGGTTTATAGAATTAAATTACCAGTAATACCAAAAATCAATTGACCTTCACTTGCATGGGTAACTTTTGATCTTGTAATTGTTCCATTTTCATTCTCTATGTGCCATTATTAGCTTTTGAAGTATTTCTTATATTACTGGATCACATTACTTAATAGATCTTGGAAATCTGAGCCAGTGTTTTTCCCCTAGAGTATCTCTATTGATTTTTCCATGATAATGATTTTGCTGTTGCATGCAAGAGTCTATGTTGTTTCTTTTTTGAGAGCACTTACAGGGTTTGAGAGTCTTAAAATATTGTAAAAAGAAAATGGCCTCTTCATATGTATCTCCCTTGGAGTATCAGGAAATTTTCTGATAATCTGAAGCCATATCATCAAGAAATTTTCTGATAATTTGAAGCCATATCATGTATGTTAGAATCTGTAATTTTTCTCATGTGATTTAAAGGACATGAATCTTTGAACGAGTGGCCATGAATCTTAAACAAAAAGCAATTAGTATTTCTAGAAATATTTAATTTGATTTATTACTTTGTAGGTATCTGTAATGCGTGATGAGGAGAAATTGTTGAGGATTAAAATTAATGAACTGGAGAAAAAGAAAAACCAGTGTTCTCAGGAAATAGATATGAAACAGCGAACCATTCAGCAACTTAAGGTAACAGTTTTGTTTTTAAAGGTGATTTTAGTAGATTCTGTTGGTATATTTTAGTGTTTAATTAAATGTATCAGTTCTTTTTTTTTTTTTTTATGTAAGAAATGGATAGTTTTATTTGAGCCAATCTGAGGATTATAACCTGGGAGACAGTCTTTCAGAAAGCTCTTAAGACTGTTCTACCCATTAGAGGTCAAAGCAGGGTTTACATACCTTTTGAGACAAAGGGTTATACATCAAATGGTATATTGTTGACAGTTTACACAATCCAGATCTGCAGTACAAAGGGAGTAGTGGGTAGTCATGGCCCCTTTCACCATAAGCAGGAAGGTTATCTCCTAAAGCATTATCTTGCTGGCACCAGGAGAAAATAGCTCTTTACAATCCAGCAGGCATTCCTGTGTCTTCTAAGGAAGGGTTAATGCAGATGCATAATGCACACTAAAGTGGGGTAGGGGGTGGGCACAGACAGAACTTTATATTTGAAAAAAAAAATTTTCTTTTTTTCCTTATCCTGCCTTAAAAATGTTTTGTTTTGTCACAACTTAGTGAGAACTCTCAGGTGGTAAACCCAGCCCAGTTGTCTGGTCAGGGTGCGCAGCACTGCTGGGGTTGCAGCAGAGGTGCGTTTGCATTTGCGGTCAGGGAAGGGTCCTGGAGCCCCAGCTCTGCCAGGGTCAGGGTTAGCTGGGGAGCCCTGCCCGCAGTGCCCGAGTTCGAGGCCTCCCCACCCACCCTGGATTTCGGTATCCTGGGCACCATCTGGACAGCAGGTGGCTGCAAAGTGTGGGCTGCGGCTCCCAAGCACCACACCCTCTCCTCGGTGGAGCCAACTCCGCAAACCCCTCCTTCTGGGTCTCAGACCAACCCTTTCTCCATCTGTCACTGCAGTAGGACGTCCCAAGGTTTAGGGAGATTTCCAGTCCTTGGGAGCAGGGTTTCGGGGGGACTGTCTCCTAGTCTGCCTGCATGTTCCCCTACACCCACAGAACAAGAGTCATGGTGTTTTCAGGAGACTTTTTGGAAGCCTTTAGGAAAATAAGCTGTTAAAAAATCCTAGGGACTTAAGGATCCAGTAAGATCCCACATACTGTGGAGCAGCAGAGCCCGTGCTCCACAACAGGAGAAGCCACCGCAATGAGAAGCCCGCGCACCGCAAGGAAGAGTAGCCCCCGCTCGCCACAACTAGAGAAAGCCCGCGCGCAGCAACGAAGACCCAGTGCAGCCAAAAATAAATAAATTTATTAATTAAAAAAAAATTCCTACTTTCAGGAAGACAATTATTTCACGATTCCAACACCTTAGGGGACTTTGGGGAACAGCTATGAGTACTTGGTGATAACAGATGATTTCAGTGTCAACCCAAAGGTATGGTGAGGTTTCAAAACAGATTGAAAACTTGTTACAGTGCACCCCTATGTAGCCAGACACCATCTATTGATAAGTTCTTTCCATCACTGCCCGAGCACCTCCGTGGTTCTCTGTTTCCGTCCCCTTCCTTCCACCTCCGTCGCTCTCCGTCTGTTTCCCTCCCCGTCTGTCCACCTCTGTCCTTCGTCTTTTTCCGTCCCCGTCCGTCCACCTCCTTCGTTCTCCGTCTGTTTCCATCTCTGTCCGTCCACGTCCATAGTTCTCCGTTGTTTTCCTCCTTCATTCTTTGTCTCTTCACCGTCTTTCCATCTCTAGCTGATTTCATAATAGTATTCAGAGATTTCCAGGTTCTGTAATGATTATTCTAAAACTTATAAAATGAGAAGATATTGCTGAAGTTAGATGAGAGAAGGAGTGAAGGTTGGATTACCTGGCAGGTTAAAACTAGAATTGAAGGATTTCCAGTGCCCAGAAATTAACCTTGCATCCTTTTCAAACCTCCCAGCTACTTTTTACTTGTATGGCATGTGGGGATTCTATTTTTTCTGCATTTTGAGTTTACTGTTAAGGAATTTATTTATGGTTTTCTTTGTCCCTCCCACATTAAATACATAGTAAACTTTCATTTCTCTCTCTTTATGCTTTTTGTGTTGTGTAAGAGAACATACATGCTAGCTTGAAATGTTGAGTGAAGAAGAGGATTTGGCATTTTGGGGGTAGATTAAAGGTTTAAAGTTTGGGGGTTTTGTTTTGTTTTTTCTTATTACCACTCTCACCCTGCCCTTTTCTCTGAGGTGAAACAAACTTGGGAGCTGGAGACTATTAGTCAGCCTTCTAGGAGACAGATTTCAAACTTAATATTAAGCCCTGTTTTCAAGTCCCACTATTAAATAATGGGGTGTAGTTAAGTTACATTTGCATTTAATTCATATTCTTTTATTTTGCAGGAGCAGTTAAGTAATCAGAAAGTGGAAGAATCTATACAGCAGTATGAGAGAGTGTGCAAAGGTCAGAAACAAACCTCTACTTCCAGTACTAAAATGACTGCAAGATAAGTAGTTAAAATAACAATTGGTTTAATATTTTCCTTTGAAAATTGTAAAGTTAAAGAAGGGTAACATAAGATGTAACTTTATTAAAAGAGAAAAGCATTGATTCTAAAGAGTAACTTACCACCATAAAGTTTATCCTTGGAGAAGTAAAACATTAAGAAATATTCAGTAAGGCCTTCCCTGGTGGCGCAGTGATTGAGAGTCCGCCTGCCGATGCAGGGGACACAGGTTTGTGCCCCCGTCTGGGAGGATCCCACATGCCGCGGAGCGGCTGGGCCCGTGGGCCATGGCCGCTGAGCCTGTGCGTCCAGAGCCTGTGCTCCACAACGGGAGAGGCCACAACAGTGAGAGGCCCGCATACCGCAAAAAAAAAGAAATATTCAGTCAAAGCAACATTGATTTCTAGATAATGGCCAGTATTTTGTGAAAAATAAAATTAAAGTTACATAGGTCACAATGAATGGAATGGATTTCTAGTCAAAATAATATAAAGGTTATACTTCAAATAAAATATCTTTAAAATTAAAAAATATTTTTAAAATGTTTTTAAAAACTAATACTTTAGATTGAAATTGTATGTGCTAAATTTTTTTTATCAATTTGGATTGATTTTTTTATTTGAAATATTACAAAATTATCTTTGTAGATGATATGTACATATTTCTGTTCATAAAATTATGCAGATTCCTCTCCTTCCCATCAGTCACCCCTTAACTTCTTAGTTGTGTGAGTAGTAGAGCTGGGATTTGAACCCATGTCTGTTTCAGTCTTAAGTTCCAGACTGTCTTCACTGATTCATGCCATTTGTACTTGGCCAACTAAAGAACAGGTGTAAGACAACAAGATTATTACTTATTTGGATGACTTGGACTTTTGTGGGGTTCACTTAGATCAGTAACTTCGATGTGAAAATATATCTCTGCACACAGTCCTATTTTCTCCTACCTTTTTAGGCCACTGTCCTCTAATATCTCCTATTTCCGTAATCTTTTTGGAGTTTCCCTTTACTTTGGCTGCTTTGTCATTGTTGGTAGATGTGAATAGATACTCTGAAAAGCATTCTTTGGACCAGGATATAGTTTTTATCGTATTTTAATTTTTTCTTTCTTTGCCAGATATTGAGACGTGTGGCATAGGCCCATTTTGAGTACTTTTAATCTTCCATCTTCTCCATGCTCTTTAAACTTTCACCCAGATCACTTGTAACCTACATATTTTCAAATCTTTTAGCTTTTTGCAATCTTTCCTTTATTTTTTAATTATTTTGAATTATTGTCTACTCTCTTTCATTTTCATTTTTTAAGTAGTATTTATTGTGTATGAGCATATTTTTACTAAACATAAAGGTAAGGCGTAGCTTGCCCCCTTTTGAAACTCTTACCTCGGCTTTTGTGATCTATTCTTAGGGTTACTGCCTTTCTCTCAGAATGAGCCTCAGCCACTTTGACAAATTTCCTGATTAAGCCATCATCATTTTTTTTCTTTGTATTTTCTCTCTTGAGAGTTCATTCACTCTTGTGATTTTAAGTATGTATGAGACATTCTCTGACAAAAAAAAAAGTGCATTTTTAGCTCTTGAGGCTTTCCCTGGCTTCTACATTTCTATTTAAATACTGAATGCCATTCACTTAGCTATCTTATTAATTTTTTAAAATGGAGATATACATACCATAAAATTTACGCTTTAAAAGCCTACAGTATGGTGGATTTTAGTAAATTCACAAGCTCGTACAACCACTACCACTATCTAATTCCAGAACATTTTCATCACCCTAGAAAGAAACCCTGCACCCATTAGCAATCACTCCGCATTCACACTTCTGAGATAACTCCAATCTCTGCCTCTGTCTTAACATGGACATCTTCCCTCTGAATGTGTCTGTGTCTTCACTCTATCTGTCTCTGTCCAAATTTCCCTCTTATAAGGACACCAGTCATATTGGATTTAGGGCCTACTCTATCCAGTATGACCTTATTCTTAACTTGATTACATTTGCAAAGCCTCTGTTTCCAAGTAAGGTCATATTCACAGGGAGTAACAATCAACATATCTTCTAATCTACTCTCCAGTAATATGACCCCTTTTATTAACAAAAAATTTTTTTGGTTATTTCAGACATTATTTTTTGTTACAGACATTAACATGAATATATTTGTATAAAAGTCTTTGGGCACACATGTAAATATATTTGTATGGGAAATTCCTAGCAGTGTAATTGTTGGCCCACATGTTGTGTTTAAAATTTTGATAAATATTGCTAAACTGCTCCCCAAAGTCATTATACCAGTTTATATTTTCAATAATAGTGTATAGAGTGCCCATTTCCGCACATTTTTGCCAGTATTAGGTGTTATCACACTTTGAACTTACAGCCAGTGTGATAAGTGAAACAAGGTATCACATGGTCTCAATCTTTTGTACTTGTGTGCGTCTGGTATACTGGTATTCTGAAGTACATTTGAACTATCACTGAGTATTTTTTTTTGTTTTTGGCCACGCCGGCCGGCTTGCGGGATCTTAGTTCCCCAACCAGGGATCGAACCTGGGGCCCTGGCAGTGAGAGTGCCGTGTCCTAACCACTGGACCTCCAGGGAATTCCCAGTCACTGAGTATTTCTAATGCAGAGTTTTACATGACATTTGTGTGTCATTTCTTTATATAGCTTTCAGTGATCCTCTCCGCTGAATGTTAAACACTTGATTGCTTGTTCATTTGCCAGGCATTTATTTAGCTATGATAGTTCATAGATATCTTTAGACAGCTTTGATGAGATATCTCATTCCTGTCTTCATGCTGCTTTATTTTCTGTTTTATTTGTTGCATATTTCTGGATTCTTTCCTGAGATAAAATGTAAGTTATTGGAGGCAGTGACTGATTTAAGAATGCTCTTGTTTCTTTTACTGTTCCTACCTTTCAAATAATAGGTGGATAGCCACTAGCGAAGTTAACATTGGTGTCCTGGGGCCTTACTGATTGCTATCTAGATACTTAAACTCCTTCTTTTGAGCCCTCCAATTTAGAGCAATAGATAGGGTGTAAAAGGAACAGGTTCTTCGAATAAAATTATAATTAATTGTATAATCTGAATATATTTGCAAATCATGCTTTTTGAAAGAAAAAGTTTTAGATAGAATACCAGTACTCCTTCAATCCTAAAGAGGAATTCTGTTTCATTAGCTCTCCTGGCAGCTTACATCACTGAACAGAAAGACTGAAAATTACTCGTTAAAATTTTTTCTCACTGTTTTGTTTTAAGCTTACTTTATATTAAGCATTTTTAAGGGAGCCATCTTTTGATATTTGTGTCATTTTTTTTGTCACTTTTAGTGCCCTAGTTTGAGCTATGCATTTATAGATTCATCACCTCTGACATTCATAGCAATCTTGGTAAGAGGTGTCAGAAGGGAGCCCTGCTACTATGTGTCTATCACCAGAGACGATAAATCAATCTTTCCTCCTTATCTCTTTCTATCAGGCAGGATTAGAATAGAATTGTTTATAAGCCATTATTGTAGTCATTTTTCAAGGGCCAGAAACAGTTTTGGTAAGGTTATAATAGTACAGTTATTCCTGATGAGTTGGTTTTAAAAACACTAGGAGTAAATATTTGGCTTTGAAAATTTTTCTAGAAAAAATAATTACTTGAGATTTAAATTTGGGATTGAGAATTTATTGTTTTTAGGAGGTAAAAGTTTTAGTTTTGGTTTGAGAATATTAACACTAAAAGTAAGTGTTTTGACAAATAATGTTTTTTCTAAATCCCAAGATCTGTGTTACTAGTACGGGCATACCTCAGAGATGTTTCATGTTCGGTTCCGGACCACCACAATAAAGTGCAGATCATAGTGAAATAAGTCACACAATTTTTTTTTTTTGGTTTTCCAGTGCATAAAAGTTATGTTCACACTATATTGTGGTCTGTTAAGTGTGCAATAGTGTTATGTCTAAAAAAACAGTGCTCATACCTAATGAAAACATACTTTATTGCTAAAAAATGCTAACCATCACCTGAGCCTTCAGGGAGTTGTAATCTTTTTGCTGGTGGAGGGAGGGCCTGGCCTCGATGCTGAAGGCTGCTGGCTGATCGGGGCGGTGGTGGCTGAAGGTTGGGGTGGCTGCCGCAGTTTCTTAAAGTAAGACAATGAGGAGATTTGCCGCATCAGTTGACTCTTCCTTTCGTGAACAGTTTCTCTGTAGCGTGCACTGCTTTATAGCATTTTACCCACAGTAGAATTTCTTTCAAAATTGGAGTCAGGCCTCTCAGACTCTGCCACTGCTTCATCAACTCAGTTTATGCTATATTCTGAATCCTTTGTTGTCATTTCAACAGTCTTCACCAGGAGTAGATTCCGTCTCAAGAAACCACTTTCCTTGTTCATCCATAAGAAGCAACTGGTCATCTGTTCAGGTTTTGTCATGAAATTCCAGCAGTTCAGTCGCATCTTCTGGATAACTTGCTGCAGCTTCTACATTAGCACTTGGCTGCTTCACCTTGCACTGTTATGTTTTGAAGACAGCTTCTTTCCTTAAAGCTCATGAATTAACCTCTGCTAGCTTGAAACTTTTCTTCTGCAGCTTCCTTACCTCTCTCAGCCTTCGCAGAATTGGAGAGAATTAGGGCCTTGCTCTAGATTGGGCTGTGGCTTAAGGGGATGTTGTGGTTGGTTTTGATCTTCTGTCTAGACCACTGAAACTTTCTCCGTATCAGCAATAAGTCTGTTTTGCTTTCTTGTCATTTGAGTATTCACTAGAGTAGCACTTTAAAGTCTCTTCAGGAGCTTTACTTTGCATTCACAACTTGGCTGTTTGGTGCAAGAGGGCTAGCTTTTGGCCAGTCACGGCTTTTGACATGCCTTCCTTACTAAACTTAGCTTAATCCTTTCATTTCTAGCTTTTGATTCAAAGTGAGAGACATGCGACTCTTCCTTTCACTTGAATGCTTAGAGGTCACTGTAGTGTTACTAATTAGACTAATTTCAGTATTGTTGTGTCTCAGGGAACAGGGAGGCCCGAGGAGAGGGAGAGACGGGGCACAGCTGGTCATTGGAGCAGTCACAGCACACACAGTGTTTATGGATTAAGCTTGCTGTCTTACATGGGTGTAGTTCATAGTGTCCCAAAACAATCACAGGAGTAACGTAAAGATCAGTGATCATAGATCACTGTAACAAATACAACAATAATGAAACAGTTTGAATTATTGCAAGAATTACTAAAATGTGATACAGAGGCAGGAAGTGAGCAAATGCTGTTAGAAAATGGCACTGATAGACTTGCTTAATGCAGGGTTGCCACAAACCTTCAATTTGTAAAAAACACAGTATATGTGAAGCACAATAAAGCGAAGTACAGTAAAATAATAGTTTTTATTATTTTTATTAATAGTTTAATTATATTGAAAATTGTTAGTTTTATCTGAAAAGATTCCTTTTCCATCCATTTATTCTTGCATTCATCCAAGCATCCATCTGTACATCAGTTATTTAGTTGATCCTTCATATATGCCAGTACTGTTCTAGACATTGAAAATATAGCAGTGAACAGGACAAAGTTTCTATTTGGAACTCATATTCTATTATAGTTAATAAAAGTGTATTTTAATTTTAGAAGAACTCAGAGGAAAAATTGGATATATAGATGTAGATGTTAGTAATTTCTAAAATGTTCTTTCCAAATTTTTAGATCTAAGCGTTAAAGAGAAAATAATTGAAGACATGCGAATGACCCTAGAAGAACAAGAACAAACTCAAGTAGAACAGGATCAAGTGCTTGAGGCTAAATTAAAGGAAACTGAAAGACTGGCCACAGGTGAAACAAGATTGCTTAAATACCTCAAAGCATACTTTCATTTTCTTTATTTTCCTAGATTTCTTTCCTTTTTAAACATAGTTTAGTGTTTATAATAATTCATAATGAAAAAGTATTTGGTGTGTTTTTGGAACATCCTGTCCCTTGTCATTTTTCATTATGATGAAAATTGTTGTACCTAAGTCAGAGAAGGAATAAGGACACTTTCATGATAACTGGATGATAGCTTGCAGTGTTCCCCAGATGTTAAGAATAAACTTTCAACTGAGTTTCACTTCTGTATAGCAACTGGTATCATCTTACATGTTTATCTCAATAAATACTCTGACTGTATCCTTCAGAATACCATCAGCCGGTTGTTTTTGTTTTTAATTTTTGAGAACATGAAGTTTCCTGTATATTGGCATGCATTTATACCGTATAGTCAGAACACTATTCAGTGGGTTATTGAGAGGTTTTTGTAGTTCTTCTCTAAGAATTTGGTAAGCTCTCAGAAGGGTCTCGGTTCTATCTTGGTCTGTGTACTTCTGCTTCTGGGCTCTGCTGATTCTTGTCTGTATCCCATGCCACATGTAGCTCTATGTGGTATAACTGTTGCATGTACTTTAAAAATAATTTTATGTTTTCAAATCAGAATTGGAAAAATGGAAGGAAAAATGCAAAGATTTGGAAACCAAAAGCAATCAAAGGTCAAATAAAGAACTTGAGGATAACACAGATGTACTTAATATAAAGCTCAGTAAGCTTCAAGATGAGTTACAGGTATGATTTTTATCTGTATATGTAATTGTATCTTTATATATATGCATTATATTTCTCATAAAAGGATAATTTAGTAAATATTTTATAATTAATTTAGATATGGATGAACCAATAGCTGGGAAATGTTAATATATAATTTTTCAGTATACACTCAAGCGACACAGGGAAGAAATTCCCAAGATACAAGCTGCTAAGTAAGTGCCAGTGAAAGTGCAGTGGTTGGGTCTTCAGTTTTACATATTTAATTTTTAAATCATCACTTCTTATGTCTTTGTACCTATTTTCTACGCTTTAAACTTCTAACTCATCAAATACTGCTGTGGAGAAGATGACTATTAGGAAAATTATTTTGATTATTGTAAATTTAATTATTAAGCTGCAAAAGAATAGAGTTGAATGTCTGAACACTGGAATACATTTGAAACTATACTACTACAGAGAAGATATTCTGTTTTGTGTTTATATGTTTTTCCATGTTTAGCTTTCACATACTATGTGTAGAATACAACATATGGGGGAAATATTTTTTTAATGGGACTTAAAAATACTACGTAAAACTTTGTACATTTTATTTATTAGAAGTTGCAATCCAACTGTAGTTTTGGGATTGAAGAAAACATAACAGTGATTTTGAAAAGACTGCATCTAAATTATTTTCTTAAATTCAGGCTGTATATAATCAGATACTGAACAAATACAAAAGAAATCAGTTACTTTCTTTTGTAACTATTAATTATATACTTTAGAATTTACCTTTTCCATTCCATTAATTATGAAAAAAAATAACATTAATTACATTGAGAATGTTCGTATTAAGGAATACCAGTATGTTCTACATTGTTCTAAAATAACATGATCACATATCTTAGATAATAAATGGGATTTTTAAATACATAGCTTTTAATGTGGTATTACTGTTTTTGTTTCAAATGAAGTTTTACTTGAATGTATAAATTAGACATTTTTGAACCCAAAGGATCTATGGAAACCTCTTTGGAATTTACTGATCAACTATATTTTCTGTCCAGCTGTTCCTTAAACTAATAAATGTTTGCCCTGTTGCACAAGTTATTCTTTATTTGGCATCCTGTATACCCAGGAAAATTTTATTTTTGGAACCATACAATTAGAAATGACTACCGTAGGTCAATTTTTTTTTTTTAATCTGGCATTTAAGAAGGCTTGGTTCTCTGTAACTCTTTCAGAAATTTCAATTGTGTCTTCTTCTTAAGCTCACTGATGATGGAAAGTCCTCAAATACACTTTACAGCAAAGTAAAGTTTATAAACAAAATAACTATTTAGGAAAGTAAACCAACAATGTTCTTTTGATAATCTGAAATAAACTCAAATCTTGTCATTATTTAAAGAAAAACACTTGTTTTTAACTTTTTGAAGAGGTGAAATGAAAAGTGCTGGATTACATGGAAATGTTGTAAATACAGATTTATTAATTGCTTTTGAAGCATATGATAGTTACTTATGCTATGTATACATATAGGAATCTGAACAGAAATATAAAGCTGATAGAAAAAAATGGTTAGAAGAAAAAATGATGCTTCTCACTCAAGCAAAAGAAGCTGAGAATCTACGAAACAAAGAGATGAGAAAATATGCTGAAGACAGAGAGCATTGTTTGAAGCAACAAAACGAAATGGTTGGTAACAATTATACTTTTTCTTCTATGTATTTCGCCTGCTTTCTTTGGTTTCTTAAATTTTTCCCTGGGATTCTTATATTCTTATCAGTATCTACATGGTTGCGTGGTTTTGTTTTTTGTCTTTTTTTCAAAGGCAGTTTGTCTGTTTGTAAGATGACTTTTCTAGCCCATTTTATCTTGAAGTTCTTATTGTTGGGGAAATAATTATATCTCAATATTTAGATTCAGAACTTAAAAATCTCTTCTTTTGACTGCCACAGGGTTATCCCTGCTGTATTGTAAAACATTTACATTTTGAACTGTAGATTCTACTAACATGGTGTTTATATTTTACCTCAAAAGCTCATTTTATCAGGTCTTCTTTTTAAAGTCAACTAAACAGTTTCTAGAAGACTATAGGTAGAAATAACGTTCAGTTTTACATTGACTGGCTCTAGTTCTTAAGTGATTCTATCTTAGCTTGTCTTTTTTTCCTCCTATTTAAACCGACAACTTAGTCTGTTTGACACTCAATCAGAAAAAAGAAGTTTAAAGTCATCATTGATCCGAGGAAAGCTGTTGAGTAATACATTAACATTATTTTTAAATGAAAAACTAGTTCTCTATTTACAGTAATAGTAACGTGGCAGTATCACATTGTCATCTATTGGCATTTCCTTTGTTAATGACAGAATTTTACTTATAGCAGCTAAACTTTCCTGTACAAACAGGAATGTTAATTTTCAATAAGTTAGGGATGATTTTTTCCAATGATTTTTAAAATTTTTTTATCTTTTTATTTTGAAATCATTTTATTTCCAGAAAAGTTGCAAAACTAGTACAGGGAATTTCTGTATACCTATCACCCAACTTCTGATGTTAGATCTTACATAACAACAGTACAGTGATCAAAACCAACAAATCAATATTATTATAGACCTTACTAGAGGTCTATATGGACCTGGTCTACTATGGACCTTACTAGAATTTCACCAGCTTTCCCACTGTTTTTTTCTGGATATAGGATCTAATCTAGGATACTACGTTCCATTTAGTTGTTGTGTTTCCTTAGAGTCTTGACTCTCTTTGTCATGTGACAAGTTATGTGAGACTAATACTTGTCATTACTACAGCAATGAGATGGCAATATATTTCACTTCATGTGCGAACTCCACATGACTGGAGGTACCTTCAGGAAGTGTTGGGTTGAGCAAGATTGTAATGCTGCGTTTATCTTAACAGGAAATGTTGCTGCTGGTTCTCTTTCTGTCCACAGCCCATCCAACCTCCCTGGACAGTAATAAGAGGCAAGAAGTGAAATCAAAGCTCTTGGCTGTCATAGTCAGTCACTCTACCTCCAACCCAGGAATGGGCCTACTTTCTTTTCCTAATCAGTAGTCCCTCTAGCAGCAATGCCAGCAAGTAAACCTCCTTTGAGTTTTTCATCCTAGAGAAAGCTAGCTCTCTCCTTTCTCCCATATATTTCTTTACAATCGTACCTAGGATATGTGTCTATGATATTTAAGAAATAAATTGTTGATGTTTTTTAAAGCTTTTAAAATTGTAACATACATAACACAGTAAGTAAACAAAACAAACATATAGTTCAGTGAATTATTATTATAAAGCCAGCCCCCACTTAACTACCACTGAGTTTAAAAAATGGAACCTTCTTCTGAATGGTAATAACTGTTCTCTCTTTTAATGTTAAACTTTAGTTTTGCTCATTTATGAATTTTATATAAATGAAAACATATAAATATATAAAATGCATTTCTTGTGTCTGGTTTCTTTCACTCAGTATTATGTTTGTGAGGATCATTTATACTATTGCAGGTAACTGGAGTTAGTCTGTTTTCATTGCTGAATATTTCAGTGTATAAGTATACTCAGTCTATTCAATTTAAAGTTGAATATATGTGGATTGTTTCCTGTTTGGGGCTGTTAATGCGTAAGATCTCCTGTTAACATTTTTATATATTTCTCTTAGTGCACATGTGTGTACATTTCTATTGCCTATATAGCCAAGAATAGAATTGCTAGTTGATAGGGTAAACGTATGTGGAACTCTAGTAGAATGCCAGACTGATTTTCAAAATAGTTGTATCCATTTATACTCCAACTAGTATTGTTGGATGTTTAGTTTATTGGCTCTGCCTATCCAAGTCTCCTTGCTTATCTTCTATTGGACTACCTTTTTTTTTTTTATAGGAGTTCCTTATACTTTTATACTTTCTGGATAGGAGCGTGTTGCAGTTACCTTCTTTCAATCTCTGGTTTACTTTTTACTCTCCTGTTGCCTTTTTAGAACAGAAATTCTTAGGTATTGTAATTCATATTCCCAATCTTTTCCTTTATGAACCTCAAGGGCATTTCTTACATTATTCCTGAAAAGTTGGGGGTTTTACCTTCCATATTTAGACCCTAGAATTAATTTTTGTGTTGGAGTGAGATGGGGTAAAAGCGGTTGTTGTCACTGTAAATGTGTATTAACGATCGACCTGGTAGTACATGTTGAAGAAACTGTTTCTTTTTTACTGCTCTGCATCTTTTGTCATAAATCAGTTGTCCAAGCGTTAACTTTCATACATTGTGTGAGATTAAAATTAAGGTTGTTTTCTTTTTTTCCATTTGGCTCTTCAGTTGTTCCATCACTCATTGTTGAAAAGATTGTCGTTTCCTCCATTGAAATTCTTTGGCATTTTTATAGAGTATCAATTGACCATAACATTTGTGGACCCTATCCTCTGCTTTCTGATGTCTGTCTATCCTTACGCCAATATCACGGTCTTGATTATTATTATTATAGTAGTCTTGAAATGATGTAGTGTGATTGCTCCTACTTTTTTTCTTTTTTTCTTTTTTTTTCGTGGTACGCGAGCCTGTCACTGTTACGGCCTCTCCCATTGCGGAGCACAGGCTCCGGACGCGCAGGCTCAGTGGCCATGGCTCACGGGCCCAGCAGCTCTGCGGCATGTGGGAACTTCCCAGACTGGGGCACGAACCCGTGTCCCTTGCATAGGCAGGCGGACTCTCAACCACTGCGCCACCAGGGAAGCCCGTTCCTACTTTGTTCTTCATTTTCAACATAATTTTGACTGTTACGTCATTTGCATTTTCATATTATTTTTAGAGTCAGCTTTTTCATTTCTGTCAACACACACACACACACACACACACACACACACACACGTGCGTGTGCGCTTGCTTGAATTTTGAAGTTGCTTTGACTCTAGATCTTTTGGGGGAGACCTGGCATCTTAACAATATTGAATCTTTTGATCCTTGAACACAGATTCTCTCTTTGTTTATTTAAGTGTTCTTTTATTTCTTTCAGCAATGTTTTGTAGTTTGTCATGTTTAGGTCTTGCATGTATTTTCTTTAATTTACCACTAACTATTTCATGATTTTTGAACCCAGTGAAAATGGTATTTTTAATTTTCATTTCTCTATTGTTTGTTGCTATTAGTTTTGTCATTTGTTTTATTGTAATTTTACCATCTCATTTCTCAAATATTGGGGGAAATGCTAGAATTAGTTTAAAAGCTGTAATTTTTTATTGAAAGAAGTGCCCAATGTGAACATTTAAGATATATGAAGGCATTATGTGTTTGGCTTTATAAGTAAATATTTTATCGAGACTTGACTATGTAATTTGTTATATATCCTGTTCACAGTTGTATTTATTGTGTTATTTAGAAATTCAGAAATTTCTTAGATTCATAATTTTGCAGGGTTTATTTTAACATTTTGTCCATATTCTGTTTAGGAAATGCTTCAAGCACAGTTGGCTGAGAAAGATGGTAACCTCCAACAGTGGCGGGAAGAACGTGATCAGCTGGTTGCAGCTTTAGAAATACAGCTGAAAGCACTGATCTCCAGTAATATACAGAAAGATAATGAAATTGAACAATTAAAAAAGATCACATCAGAAACTTCTAAAACAGTCAGTAGAATCATGTTCTTTCTATGCCTTTTTAAATTAAACATAGGAAGTATTCAAAATTATTTAATTGATTAACTTTTAAAGAATAAAAACATAAGTAGATCAGTGGGGAATCATAGTTTGAAAAAATTATTTGGATAGGGGCTTCCCTGGTGGCGCAGTGGTTGAGAGTCCGCCTGCCGATGCAGGGCACACGGGTTCGTGCCCCGGTCTGGGAAGATCCCACATGCCGCGGAGCGGCGGGGCCCGTGAGCCATGGCCGCTGAGCCTGCGCGTCCGGAGCCTGTGCTCCGCAACGGGAGAGGCCACAGCAGTGAGAGGCCTGCGTACCACAAAAAAAATAAATAAATAAAAATAAATTATTTGGATATTGGTCATGAAGTTTGAGTTTTCAGAGTTTATCATTATGGTTGACTCATCAATGACTAATTGAGAAATAGTACTTTCTCCAATATTTTGGTCATATCTCTTAGATAGAATAATTAGAAAATAAACAACTGATGATTTAGTCCCTAATCTGCCTTTAAAATTTGGAAATATGACTCAGCCTGAATGCTTGGTGATATTTAAATACTTGAACCCATCCTAAATTTATGAAAAAGATACAAATTGTTTTTGAAAATAAGCATAATGGTGAGGAGATGTGAGTCATTCAGGAGCTACTTTTTTTTTCCCGCCCTCTGGCTGCACCACACGGCTTGCAGGGATCTTAGTTCCCCAACCAGGGATTGAACCCAGGCCCCGGCAGTGAGAGCACCGAGTCCTAACCACTGGACCACCAGGGAATTCCCAGGAGCTACTTTTGTAATATTGCATTGGGGCTAGGAACCCTAGGTAAAGAAAGTATTGCATTTCACAGATAGCTATTTCCCAGGTAAATTGAATCAGGGTACATCTGAAGCTAGTCTTTTCAGAGTAAATAATCTGCATTTGAAAATCTGCTGTTCCGCAGCCTTCAGACAATAATAAAATTAAATGTGTTTGTGTGTATATGTCTCTTACATCAAAAGACTTCATGATTCTAAGAGAAAGACTGCTCAAAACAGAGGTGTTAGCATGTGGTATAAATTGCACAGAATAGAAAGTTAGAAAAACTAGGTATCAACTGCTGTCAGTGTGGTTTTGGGACCTTTAGGAAAATTACTTAACATTTCCAAACTTTAAAACAGAGATGATAATGTCTTTCTAATAGAATTGTGAAAATTAATCGAGAGCATTTGTAAAACAATTAGCACAGTTATTACCACAGTGGAAGTCAGTACATGCTAGTTGCTTTCCCCATTATGAATGCAATAGCATCTTTTTTATTTGACAGTTATGGGTAGGTGACATAAGAGATGTATTTGACTTTTGATTTTGATGGTAGTGATTAGAAGGTGCACGTTGGAATTTATCAAGTTTAAAAATGTATTCTGATTTTTTTTATAGATCCCTTAAGTAGGGTTTAGGAATAGAGCATACCCTATGACTGATTAAGTGAGATGAAGAGTGTGCAGCAAGGAAAGGTTTAGTTATCAGTATGGTCTTTTCTACTCGAATGCTATAGTTGCATTCCTAAGACACCTCTAGTTTTTCAAAATTGTGTTATCAAAGTGATTTTGGGGGTTCAAGCTCCAACTCAGTACAGACAGTGGTCATGTTATTTAATTTCTCTCTATTTCTTCATCTGGAAAGTAGGAATAACAATTCTTGCCAAATCTCAGAGTTGCAGTGAAAGTAAAATGAGAGAATATATGTAAAACACCTTGGAAGTTAGAAAGTAATCTTTCAAATTTCTCTTTAGATCAGATTCAGAAGAGGCTGGAAAGTTGCCCAGCCTTTCCTAACTCTCTGAGGATGAAAGAGAAGAAGAAGGAGAGTTAGTTGGTCATTGAAGAAGTCTTTAATTACTTCCACTATTTATTTCACCCAAATCTTGATATTATATTCTTTAGGTGAAGTATTTTAATGTATATTCGGTTACGGTGGCTTGTTGCTTTAATATTTCCTTACTAGGAAAAACAGACCATGGATATCCAGCCCAGACATATGAGTTCAATGAATCCTGGCAGGGTTGAAACTGAACCTCAGTCATCAAGTTTTGGCAGGGTTGAAACTGAACCTCAGTCAACAAGTTTTGAAATTTCCAGGGATGAAGTAGAAGTGAGTATTTGATAACACAGTCCACTTTTTAACCCTCTTTACCAATGACCATTAATTACTAAATAATACTTGCAAGTATAATTTAATCAGTTGTTGTAGGTGTCTTGCTATACAGTTAGCTGTGTGTGCTCTTGGCTATGGAAAGGAAAACTGAAGGCTTTTGAGGGGAGATGCAATTCTTTTGGGGAAATTTGATCCCCAAATGGTATTAATTTCCTCTCAAAATGATACTGATCTCAAACAGATCTTTGATTATAAACAAATTTGATGGTCAGAAATAGGAAATCCCACAAAAGATAAAATATGGATGACTATTTTCCCTCATAAGCAGTCCATTTAATAAGCATTCTATTAAATAGCATTTTTTGGAAATTTTACCCATTTTATAACTTTATCACCAAATCCCAATAACCTCACAATGAGTTTCCTTAGTTTGAAGTGGGCTTAGGGTTCTGTGACTTGCATTGGATAACGTAGTTTCTCAGATTGCCTATGAAATAGATACAAATTCTATGCCACTTGTTGAAAATAAAATTACTTTTTAAATATTTATTTTAAAAACACATTTATTGGGAGCATTCATTGTTGGGAACCTTGCACTGAGGATAAAGACATAAGTAAGATATGATCGCCATCCTCAAGGAATAAGAAGTCTAATAAGACAGGTATTTAATGACTATCTTGTTTCACCTTATGGACTAAGTGTTATAAAGAGAATGCTAAGAAGGAACACTGATGAGGAGGATATGATGAATTTTGCCTGAGTGGTTGTGGACGTGGATTAGAAAAAGTAACATCGTACTGGGTCTTGAAGGTGAATAGAAGTTTACCAAGCAGAGAATGGGAAGAGAACGGCATTTTTATCTGGGGAAATAACACAAGCCATTCCTTACAAGGCTTCAGAAGAATCATGTGACTTCCACCACATGCTATCAGTCATGGAAGCCATTAAGGCCAGCCCCAATTCAAGGAAGGGAAATGAGACTCTATCTCTCAGTGGGAAGAACAGTAAAGAATTTACAGCAGACTTTAGTTTACCATAACTAGGGCGCTTATTAAAAATCATTGACTCTTTCCTGGGAGAGTTCTGATTTAGTAAGTTTGTGGTAGGGTCCAAGAATCTTTTAAACAATTTCTCTAGATAATTCTTACGATGACAGAGGTTTGGGAAATACTGATCTCTAAGTTTCTCTCAATTTTAACATACCATGTATAAACCTGGAGAAAGTAGATGATAACTCAGTCTTTCTGTCCTTGCTGTAGCAAATTTGATCAAGCAAACTTTTTATCTTTTCCAATTTATTGTTTTTAATAGGTAACTGAGACAGTTAATTTTTGGCAATTTAGAAATTCATATTCTGCAAATAAGATTTGTTTTCCTTTTAAATTCTGTTGTAGGATGGATCTGTAGTCCTTGACTCTTGTGAAGTGTCAACAGAAAATAATCAAAGTACTCGATTTCCAAAACCTGAGTTAGAGATTCAATTTACACCTTTACAGCCAAACAAAATGGCAGTGAAACACCTGGGTTGTACCTCACCAGTGACGGTTAAGATTCCCAAGGCCCGGAAGAGGAAGAGTAATGAAATGGAGGAGGTAAATACTTAACTATTAAGTGAATTAAACAAGTAAACCTTATTATTATTAAGCTCAGTGATAATATATAGTTAAACTCTGTTACATTGCCCTCCTGTTCATAAGCACTGCTATTAGAGACCAAAATCATAGTTTATGGTATATTTAATACTGTTTTAAGAATATTACTGTGGTGAATAGTCCTCAAACAAAAAGCTTATAGATTTTAAAATATATAGATTATTCCTTCTTTTAGTGAAGCTATGACAGGTCAAATGGTGGTGAATTTTAGTAGCGAGCTATTTCAGTATACTGGTCCTGTTCAAACTCAGTCACTTTCCCACCAATGGAAGAGAAAAGGGGTTGATAAAAGGAATTAGAGAAACTGAAACGACTAACTTGCTTGAATATAATCTTTGTCATTTAACTAAAATCTTAGGTCTGTATGATCATAGTTGGTTTCAGAAGAGAAATTCTTCTTCTATGAGCCAGTATTAAAATTTGGGTCCAATTTAGTGGTAGGCCAAGAACTATTTACTTCTCTCAGCCGCAGCTTTCTGATCGTGGGGTTACCAAACTTTCTATCATATTCTAGCCAGTCACATAAACTTTCCGATCCTCACTTCCCTCCTTTCGGAAATAAAGAATTAGATATAATATGTTTAAAATGTTTTGCTTTTATTCCACATGTGGTAGATACATAATAAATGGCAATATTTATGTTAACAGAAATATTTATGTTTAAAACTATAATTATAAACTCTCTGGCACAATAACTTTTTTTCCAACTTGTCTTTTTCACGCCTTTAAAGAGTAGTATGTTTTCAAGTTGGTGGAAGAGCAGAAATAATATTAACCATGCTCCTGAGGCTCTCTGTCAGGTAATACATTTGCTGAGTGAATATTATTTAGCATATTTCCTTCTACACATAGAACACCTTTAGCGATTGTTTTGGAGCGCCTTAGTTAACCTTTATTCTATATTTATTTAATTTATATTTAGTACACTTTAGATACCATTAAGACACAGTTGACCCTTGAACGACGTGAGGGTTAGGTGCCAGCCGCAGCGCAGAAAAATCTTCTGTAACTTACAGTCGGCCCTCAGTATGTGAGGTTCCTCATCCGTGGATTCAACCAACTACGGATCATGTAGTGATGTAGTATCTACTAACTATTGAAAACAATCAGCGTATAAGCAGACTCATGCATTTCAAACCTGTTTTGTTCAAGGGCCAACTGTACTAAGTAGTTTAATTTCATCATCTTTGTTAACATGGTGACTAACATCTATGTTGACTTGATTCATTTTTTTCAAAGGAAAAGGAAAAATCGGTTGTATGCTCAGAGGGTTAAGATAAAGTTATTTTATTCATTTTACTGCCAGCATATACTCCCAGTTTCAGAATAGATACACAGATTGTTGTAGGGTAAACCATGTAGAAACTTAAAAGTTTTAACTGATTTTGCTAGCTCTTTACTGCTGTAATAAACTGAGTGTTGTAAAGTCCTCAGGAAAATAATTTATACGGTGCTATATTCTAATCTAGTGAAGACTCCAGAGAGCTCTTTATTGAACACTACAAGTATGATGGAGTTACAATCTTTCTTCCTTTGCTTCCCCTGATTACCATCTTTCCTCTTTTACAAAATCTTCTTCTTGTGATTCTTAAGACTTTACTGGGTAACTTGAATTCTGAGGTTCAGTCATGATCTCTCTGCTTCTGTTCATGCCTTTTTTTTTTCCTTTTATGCTTATAATCTTTAGTACGACTAATATTTGCACAAGTTCAGTTCAGTTAATGTACTACAAAAGACTTTGTCTTAAGATTAAGTGGGGAAAAGAAGAGTGAGAGGTCATGCCTTTTTAGTAGCAAAAACAGATTGTATTTCTTAACTTTCACGTTTTACCTGTGCTTATACTGCAGAGTTTTGTTCTGTTTTCAGTGTCACTAAGTATCAATGAGAGGTTATGCTCAGCATGATTTGGGAGTTGGAAAAAGGGTAGATAAATATATTGCTATGTTGTATTGTCAAGATGGGGTTCAAATAAAAGATGTTATCCCTTCATTTAACTAATGTAATTTCATCATGATGCATGTGAAAAATTCATACCTTCAATCATTTTGTGATAAAAACATGTATTGCATCATCATGCTGTGCACTTAAACTTACATATGTTATATATGAGTAATATTTCAATGAAGTTGGCAAAAAACATTGTACCTTCAGTCAGGGTTTCTCAACTTCAGCGTGATTGACATTTTCAGCCAGATATTTCTTTGTTTAGGAGAGTTCAATGCCCTGTACATTTTAAGGGGTTTTTAGCAGTATTCCTGGCCTCTACCCACTAGTTTCCATTAAACCTTCCCCTTATCCCCAGCGGTGACAACCAAAAATATCTTCAGACAATGCCTATGTCCCCTGGCGTCAGAATTGCCCCTGGTTAAGAACCATTTTCTTGTTTTGTTGCTGTTTGTTTGTTAGTTTGCTTTTGTTCTTTTTTTTTCCTCCCCTGGAGTTTAGAGAGAGAAAGAAAACACTGTCAAGAAATTAATCAGTGCTGAAATTCATTATTTTTAGGACTTTGTGAATTTTGAAAATAAGAAGAATGCTACACCCAGAACGAATTTGAAGTCCCCTGTTTCTGAGCATGGAAATTCTTCTGTCAAAAAGGAACAAAAGGTTTGTCTTCTAATTTGTCCAAAATTGACCATTTTCATAACTTACATTTATAAAGTAGAAGATGAAAATAAAAATATCAAATTTGATTAGTAATAATTATTCAGAAGTTGGGTTTTGTCCAGTTATAACTTATTTGTCTTTCATTTTCTATTCATCTAATTCAGCTCTGAATATATAACCTTTGGCATTTGGCAAGTAGCAGGTACCCCTTGATGTGTTCACCTCTGACTTATCATTCTATCACACTCATTCTCCGGCCCTTTCATCCCTCTCCTTATATTCTTTTTTGTGTGTTTGTGGTACGCGGGCCTCTCACTGTTGTGGCCTCTCCTGTTGTGGAGCACAGGCTCAGTGGCCATGGCCCAGGGGTCCAGCTGCTCCGCGGCACGTGGGATCTTCCCAGACCGGGGCACGAACCCGTGTCCCCTGCATCGGCAGGCAGACTCTCAACCACTGCGCCACCAGGGAAGCCCCCCTCTCCTTATATTCTTAATCTCAAGTTCCCTGCCTGAGAATTCATAACCTGTGCCTGACCTCTTTAATTCAACTATGGCTATAACTGTTTCCTTCTAACATTCCTCATCAACAATAACAAGAAGTGTTTGTTTATTAGGTTTCCACACGCCCATCATCTAAGAAAACTTATTCTTTACGGAGTCAGGCATCCACAATTAGTATAAACGTGCCTGCTAAGAAAAAAGAAGGAACGCTACAGAAATTTGGAGATTTCTTACAACATTCTCCAACTATTCTTCAATCAAAAGGTTTGCAGAATATTAATTAAATGACCTTTTACGTTAGATATATGGTGTTTTCTAATATCTGATTGGTGTATAAACTCAACAATAGTGACTATTATATTTCCAATAGACAGTGTCTTATGTTAGGTATTTAGGGACGAAACATGAAAGGATGATATGCCTTGGTGTTCACTGGGTAATGGAAGAGAAAGATCTGTATTTAAGTAATTGATGCAGAGAAGGCTGCTTAATGTAATAGTTGTAGAGATACAAGGAAAGTGCATGGTAGTATTGGAGGAAGAGAGCTGTTTGTTTGGGGGCTATGGGAAGATTTTATAGAAGAGATGGGATTTAACCTGGGTGTTGAAATGTTGGAAGATTATACCTCCTAGAGATAACCGCTGTTAGCATTATGGTATATTTTCTCCTACTGTTTTTTTCTCTGCATGTATAAACATTACCTAATCATATATATCAAAAGCATATATTTCTATAAAAATGTATTGAGTTTAGTTGCTTAATGCTTTTTTCTTTATAATGTAGACATACTAATACTTTTGTATTAATATGTGCTAAGATATATATCCTCTCTATACACGTATACATAAATATATATTTATATGCACATCTACCAGAGGGAACAGTTTTAACACAAATAGAGTACCAGGAAAGTGTAGGGAATGTGCAGGCAATTACAGGTAGCAATATGCATCTGGCCTCTAGAATGCGGAGAGATTATTGGGAGGAAGGGGGCAGGAAGGAGTGAGTTTTCATTAGAGTACCTGAATGGTAGCAATAGGGTAAATTGGAGACTGGAGGTGGGGAGAAGGAGGAGGGAAAAGGACTGAAAGCAGGGACAGCTGAATTTAGTCAGATTGGTTGTATAAAAATACTTTCTGTAAAAACTTAACCGCAGAGCTTCCCAAACTTTCTTGGTTCACAGCGCCCTTAATGTCTCAGTAATTTTTTTCATTGTGTCCATGCACCCAAAGAAACACCTAATAGTTCCATCCGTTAATACTTAAGGCCAAACAATCACTGAAAATTCAGCTCCTGAAGATCCAGGTTGCCAAAATATGTAATCATCAGAAGGAAGGCAATGTGATATCTTTTTGAAACTGAACTACCCTGAGTTACAGAGTGTCACTGTTTTCCTCAAAAATTTAAAATATTCGGAGCTGCTCTCGTGAATTTGCTGCAGCATGTCTTGGTACACAGTTTGGGAACTTCAGACTTAGACCCATTTGTATATATTTTTCAAAAAATATATACATTCTTTGAAAGGTATAGTTTGTACAAGCATAGAAAATATCTGGAGAGACAAACAGCACACTGTTAAATATCTAAATTTGGAGAGGTGGGACTTGTTATTGTAGATGCTTCTGTATTTTATTTAAATTATGTTGACCGTTGCTTATATATTAAAAAGAAATATGTTTTCAAGGAGAGGGAGGTACCCACCTGGTAATGACTCCCTTGTCCTTAACAGCTTCCCTACCTATATACCCGGTGTGGAATTTTTAAAAACTTATTTCTAGTAATATAAAGTATCCCTGTTTGGGATTGTAACTGCAATACATGTCTGTTGTTGATCACTTGGAAATAAAGGGAGAGAAGAAGAAAACAGAGATTAGTGCTTAAGATTCTACTGCTCTGATAACTACTGTTAATCCATTACTCAGTAACGCTGGTTTCCCAGTTTATCCCTTTTGTCTATCTCTTATCCATTCAGTACATGGAAGCCAGAGTGATCTTTTCAAAGTGCAAAATGAATTATTTAAACTATACAACTTTTTGTTTTCTTATTATCTTTTCCAGTAGAATATAAGCTCTACAAGTGCAAAATGCCTGTCTAGTTTACATCCTCAGCTCTTAGTATAGTGGTTGGCACACAGTAGTGAGGAATTTCGAAGCTCCAGGCCAAAATCCTATGTGTGATTTGTTTCAGGCTGACCTTAGGCAATTACAAAGGTTTTACCTGTTAGGTCTCATGAGGGAAAGCTACCGTCCCCACATCAAACTTGATACACAGCCAATGCGTCCTAGTCTGTGAAGGGAGTTAGTCAAGGACTCAGGTCTCTTGCCAGCCATACTCTTACACATATCTGCATTCCTAGCCTAGGTGCCTTCATTTGTATCCTATTAATTGGGAGCCTTCAGTAGAGAACGTCCTCAGGCATCTCTGCCAAAGACGTTATGACGGGGAGGTGGAGGGAAACTTGAAGACACTGTTCTCCACTCTGACTCTACTTTTCCGCTCCTAGCCCTCCCCACTGGTCTCCAGCACCAAGGTCCATAAAACTGCAAGCGCCAAGAGCCTTTTGTTTAGGGCTCGCTTGGCAATAAGATCACCCCAACTTCTGTGCTGACCCACCTGACCCAGACTGTGCATTATTCCACGGGGGAATCTAGAAGGGCGGTGGGAGTTGGCGCTTTCTCAGGTCTAGCCTCTTGCTTATTCAACTGCAGTTAAGTGGTTAAAGGCTTTAACTTTCATTTTGACTTGTCTTAATTAGCCACTCTGACATCTGGCAGCTCAGCTCTCAGGCTCAGCTCAGCCCTTGACAAGTACACCTCAGTTCAGCATGTTTCCTTAAATGTGTTTTCTATTTAAAAAAATATATAGTTGATATCATATGTACATGGATTTTCTATCCAGAAGTTTTCCCAAATGGAAGTATGTTTTCTGTTAAAATCAATATGTGTCTATTAAAAAAAAAGCATATGTACAAAGTAAGAAATTTTAAAATTCCTATTCAACTTACCAGAAGCAATCAGCTGTTAACAATTTGCTTTCTTTTACTCTGTGTGTGCATGGGCACACGTTTGTTAACTAGAAGTAAAGGGCTCACAAGTTACTTTCACTTAGTATTCATTGTGGACGTCTTTACATGTGAGTACTGAACTAGCTCTACCACCTTATTGTTCTTAGTGATGCATGGTCCACTATATACGTATCCTGATCTTTTCCTTAATGTAGTATAAACCTCTTCCAAGTCATTAAAGATGCCTGAGTTTTAGTGGTTGTACTATAATTTACCAAACCTTTTCAATATGTTGAACATTAGTGAAGTGATATTTTATTTATTTGCCCTTTTATTTTTGCTGTTGATCATTAATTTGTGTGTTTATTAGGCATTTAATTCTTTTTTCTTTGTGAGTTTTCTATTCGTGTCCTTTTACCATTTATAAATTGCAGTGCTTTTCTTTTTAATATGGTTCTTTATTAAGGATTTCAAATATTTGCAGTTAGAAAATTATTGCAAGATTTAACTAATGTATTTTTTCATAGCAAAGAAGATAATTGAAACAATAAGCTCTTCAAAGCTCTCAAATGTAGAAGTAAGTAAAGAAAATGTGTCTCGACCAAAACGGGCCAAACGGAAATTATACACAAATGAAATTTCATCTCCTATTGATATATCTGGCCAAGTGGTAAGCTACTATTTAAGTTTTCTTAAAAGTAAAACTGTTTATGTTCTTCTTAATTCTGAAGTATTCATAACAATTTGAATTATATAATGGTTTGAACTTTTATTCTGTAGACCATATCTCTTAAAACACGCTTTAAATGTTGTACTTTTGGTACTGGATGTGTTAAATTTATAGTAATTGAATATAAACGCTGCATTAATGTATACAAGTGTCACATGCATCTGCATTTATAAACTCATAAGAGGAATTTTAATTCCATCAATAGAATTATCACTACTTAATAATTTATTGGCTTCTAACATCTGTTTTTCTTATTATCTTTATCACAAGAGTTGTACAAATCTGGCCCTAAGTCTGCCTGCTAAAAATATAGAATTGACATTCAGTCATTTCTTCCCACTTTCCCTCTAAGGCTTCCAGGTTTTCTTAAGAAAAGACTATATAGATTGTCACCCTGACTTTATGACTCATTCTCCTTACTTAGAACAGGCTGTTCTATTACAGGGAAAGTTCTAATTTTCTATCATTTTTGCATCTGCCTAGTGGATGGAAGTGAAGGTAGAAAAGGAGTTAAAGAAAAAGCCTTCAACAGAAAATGGCCAAGAAAAATCGGGAGAGACCTTTTGCAACAGTAGCTATCAGATATAAGATAGACACTTGAAGCAAGTAGTAAAGAATTAGGTTCATTAGGTCATGCTTTTGGAAGTACTGTTCTCTTGGTTACTTTTCTCCATCTGTCTGATAAGCACATAATTTTCTCCCTTGGCTGAAGTTATTTCTTTTCTTAGTTGCAAAATAATGCTGTTTCTACTTTCTAAGTTATATACTTGTTACTGCAAAAAATCATTTCCTAAAAATTATTTGAGGCACTTGTCTCCAAATATTTTAGTAATTATTTCAAGCTATGAATTCAGTAAAAGTGTGGATTATTTTAATTCCAGAATTAGGTAGTGTTGAAAGAATCTTTTATAAAATCTACTACCTTAGACATGCTTTTTTATAGAAGATTGTATATCTGCAGTCCAGGAGGACAGAAAGTACTGTCATGGAACGTGAACATAGCTTATTAATTGTAAGCAAGCTTTCATTTTTATTTTTATTTATAAAAAATTATGAAATTGTTAATTTCAGATTTTTATGGACCATAAAGTGAAAGAAAGTGATCATCAGATTCTCAAACGACGACTTCGAACCAAAACAGTCAAATAAATCACTTATGGAGAATGTTTTAATATAAAATTTATATTCATAATCATTATAACTTGCATCCTGACCTTTTAAAGATAATTGTATATACTATGATGCATCAAATCCCTTTGTGTGTACATTGCTATTTTATAATAGTGTAATTTTAATTCAATAAAGAAAATAAGTCAACAGTAAGTTTGCTTGTCTACTTTTCTAAGGCTTTTAAATAATCGCTTCTTTTCAAACTGTATGTATTTTCCTGTTATCCCAGGCATGGGACCAATGAGGAGCCTAGGAAAGATGCTGTTATTTTTTGTTTGTTTTTCTATACATAGATATCACAGGTCAGATAATTTGGTTTACTTATATTTAACAGTGTTTTAGGAATTGCTTTTACTGTATCTGTTAGGAAATACAGGTAATTTTACATATCTGTTTGGATTATAGCTGAGATTCAGGGAGTAAGTGTGTACGAGTCTTCTAGTTGCTAAAATATGTATGCACATAATTTAGAAAAGATCTCAGGCCTTTAATTAGAATGTCTTTTATTTTTAAATAATTGAATAGAGTTGGTTTTCTGATTTTTCCAGGACACAGAAGATTAGACGCAAAAAGTTAGAAGGGAAGAGGCGATAACATCTAGAGGCCAAAAAATTATACTGTTATCTAGGGAGGATAGAATTTTAGACCTGGAGAGACCTTAGAAATACACTTTCCTCATTTTATAGATGAGAAAACTGAGACCCATAAAATTTACTTTTTCAAGTTCACACAACTAACGTATATTAAGCTTTGGTTTAAAAAAATACCAACAAGAAACAAAAAACAAAGCAGAGGCCTCAAGAATTGTTGCCAACTGGGGCTTTTTAAGAGCACACATTTATGCATCTGAAACCTTTAAGGTTTCATTGGATTTTAGCATTGTTTACTATAATCATGTCCCTGAGACAGGAATAAAAGTTATCTTTGGTGTCTTGTTTAGGAGACACTTATATGTGTTTGGGGAAAATTTCCATCAAAATAGTTAATTTAAAACTGAAACCTCTTTAAGCATGAACATGTTTTTATTATGCTACATGGTTTCATGCTAATATATATATATATATACACACACACACACACACACACACACACACACGTGTATATATATAATTGATCCTCATTATTCACAGATTACATGATTACAAATTTGCTTATTTGCTAAAATTTATTTGTCATCCCCAAATCAGTACCTAGGCACTTTTGTAGTCATTCTCAGACATCCCCAGAGTGGCAAAAAATTTTAGTCACCCAACATGCATGTTCCCAGCTAAGGTTGAACAAGATTACACTGGCTTCTTGTTTCAGCTCTCATACTGTAAATGAGTGTCTACATCCCAGAATGTAGACTGAAATCAAGCCTCAACAACATCTGCAAAGGAGACAGTTTGACAATTGGAAGGGCTTGAGAAATACCTTGGGCTTTCCACACGCTTATACTAACAGAGCATAACACCAAGTCTGCATAAGTTGAAAGCAATCAGTAATCAAAATGCCTACTGGAACAAAAATCAATACTTCAGAGGAAGATATAGCACAGATTCTCTTTAACATATCTGTTATAATGTGTGCCATACCAGTCAAAAATTAGTATATATGGAAAGAAACAGGAAAATGAGTCCTATGGTAAAGAAAAAAACATGAAAATAAATCTTGACATGGCACAACTGTTGAATTTTGCAGAAACTGTCAAGCGGCTGTTGTGCGCATGTTCAGATTTAAAGGAAATGCTATCTCAATGAGTAAGGCAAAGGGAATCTCAGCAGAGAGATGGAAAGAATAGAGAAAACAAGTGGAATTTTTAAAACAAAAATAACTGATGTAAACAATCTGGATAGATTTAACAGCAGATTAGAGGTGTCAGAAGAAAGTATCAGTGAACATGAAAACAGATCAATTAAAATTGTCCAATCTGAGGATAAGGGAGACTGGAGAAAGAACAGAGCCTGAGGGTCCTATGGAATAATATCACATGGATTAACAGGTGTAATTGGAGATCCAGAAGGCTAAAAGAATGAAAATAGGGCAGAAAAATATACTTGAAGAAATAACGGCCAAACATTTTACAACTTTTATGAGGAAACATTGGCTTTGAAGCACTGTAAACTCCAATTAAGATAAATCCAAAGAATAGTACACCTGGGAAAATCATAGTCAAACTACTAAAAACCAACAATAAAGAGAAAACTTTGATAGGAAAACCAGCAAAGTCTTGAGAAATACAACAGGTTGCAGATAAGCCGCTGACCTGGAGAAAATATTGGAGTATGTACAGGCGGAGCACGTATATATAAAAATATATTAAAAACTCTTAAAATTGTAGTGAGAACACAACCAACTCAACAAAAATCTGGTAAAAGACTTGAATAGGTGCTCCACTAAAGAAGATACAGGCAGTGATCAGTATACTGTATGTATATTGTATATTGTCACTGTACATATGAAAAGATACTCAAGGTTATTGGTTATCATGGGAAGGCAAATTAAAGCCACAAGTAGAAGGAAAACTGCAGTGAGAGAAGGAAGATCAGTGATTGCCTTGAGGCTGCGGTCAAGAGATGGGATCCGAGGACATGAGGAAACTTCTTGGGGAAATGGCTCTATTCTATGCCTTGATTGTTTTGTATTCTGTATGCAATTTCTAAACATAAAATTGTCTTTGAGGGCTTTCCTGGTGGCGCAGTGGTTGAGAGTCTGCCTGCCGATTCAGGGGACGCGGGTTCGTGCCCTGGTCTGGGAGGATCCCACATGCCGTGGAGCGGCTGGGCCCGTGAGCCATGGCCGCTGAGCCTGCACGTCCGGAGCCTGTGCTCCGCAACGGGAGAGGCCACAACAGTGAGAGGCCTGCGTACCGCAAAAAAAAAAAATAAATAAATAAATAAAATTGTCTTTGAAATGAATGAATTTTATTGTATGAAACTTTATCTCAATAGAAAGATTTTGGCTTCTAGCATGATATTTAAAAGAAATTTTTTTTTTCCCTGTAGAGTAACTGCACTCGTTCTTTATTGTGGCAAGAGATCATACTTTGGAAAATGTTTTGGAGGCATATTTTGACAAAGAACTATAAGGTATGGTGACTTAAAAGTAATAGAATTATAATTGAAGCATTTTATTAAAGCTCACTTTAGAATACAGGTATTAATAATTCCACTTGATGAAGTGGTTGATAGCAGCTTTGGGCGACAGTTTGAAAATCTGTAGCTGGAATTCAAAATGGAATATAAGACAAGTGTAAGCTGAATTAATTCTAAATGCCTTAGGGGAGATCATTAGAGGAATCTTGTTGTGAAGCCTTTTGTAAAGGAAATAATAAGTGTTAATACTTAGGGTAATCACTTTCTAATTTATGTGTTTTATAAGTTTAATTTTTTTCTTATGTAAAGTTATACCTGATTTGTGATTACAAGTCAGGTTAGCAAATGCTTATCAAAAGCTGATGATAAATACTATTTAAAAGCATAACAGAAGAAAGCTAAATGTTGTATATCTAAAAATGGAAAGAGGATGTATACTGCTGAGTTCTCCTTTGGTTCCAGTTTTTTTCGTCTTCAGTAGCATTCAAGAGAAATAAAGACTTTATATTAAAGTTAACGGAACAACTTCGAAGAAAATTAGTAAAATATTATTGGTAGTATGTTAAACAAGCCTGTTATATTTTGTCCCTATGGCTTTCAGAGGTTTGTTCATCACTTGATCCAATTATACCAGTTTTTGCAAAGTCGTAGTCCAATATTCTGAATATTCTCACTGATCTGAGTCTCGAATCTCAAACAGAAGGAGGAACCCACGAACGTGATGTTCTGATTACTATAATCCACCATACCAAATTGTGCTTCACTTCCCAGCTGCCCAGCTTCCCTAATCTTGGTCGTCTTCACTACTTTGGAGCAAGATGAAAGTACTGTACTTTACATATTTGATCTCTGCCTACAACCATCACTGCAGATGTAATTGCTATGATTGCAGTTTGGTCAAGATGGGCATTTTCCTGCCCCTCCACATATTTGGTAAAGCATAGTAGCTATCAGTATATCTGCTTTGGCCAAATCCCAAAGAATGACCAGACTGGGCACTAGACTGGAATTTTACTGGCTGATTTGAATCTTCAAAGCTTTTCATTTATTATAGGTGACTAGCAGCTTTGAACCAATATCTGAACTCTGTCTCAGTGTCACACACACAGTCAAGTCCCTAGTTTCCCCAAATATGGAACTAATTAAGGAACTACTATGTATAAAATAGGTAACTAATAAGCACTTACTGTATAGTACAGGGAACTCAATAGTCTGTAATGCCTATATGAGAAAAGAATCTAAAAAAGAGTGGGCATATGTATAACTGATGCACTGCTGCTGTACAGCAGAAACTAACACAACATTGTAAATCAACTACACTCCAATAAAAATTTTAAAAATTAAAATCAGTAAGAAAATATCTATATTCCCCCCCCCAAATTAAAAGGAAATTTAGGCTTTGCTTAGACCTGTTTCATGGCCAAGTAGGCTAAACTTTCATAAATGGGAGGCTTCATTGTGGCTTTTTGAACCTAAGGCTTGAGCTAGCAGAGACTAGTATAATTAATAGTTAGCTAAAAATTTGGTTTTTGGTTCTAAAACTCACTTTTTATTTTCTCTGATTATACCTTCCATGTGCATCAAGAACATAAGTTTATGTAAAATAGCAGATGGGCCTCGTGGTATGGACTTGGCATGACTAGGTTCTATATACAATCTAAATTGAGAGATGCAATTTCTGTGCAATGTGTACACCGATTCAGCAATATGATGACCGATGGCTAGTCCCACGAAACTAGTGCAGTTAGGCCAGTAGTCTAGCAGTGTATGCTTCAAGAATACGATTTATATATTAACACTTAGCCCCCCTGTATTATCATTCTGTTTATCATTTGTTTTGGGACACTGCTTGTCCTTAGAAGACCATTTTAAAACTTATTTAGCAACGAATAACCATGAATAATCATTTACAACACCCAAATGATGTTCTTGAGATGAAATATGCACATGGATTAGTGGTAAAAGTTAAAACTAGTTTTTGAAAATTTTAATAGAAAACAAATGAGAGATTTAAAATATTCTCTCAGATAACACATTAAGTGGAAATTTGAAGACAAGATACATATCGTTGACCAGTGA